CTCATGTTTGTATGTGTGTGTGTGTGTGTGTGTGTGTGTGTGTGTGTGTGTGTGTGTGTGTTTAGAGTGTTGACAGAGTTGGGAAAGCAGAATGGGCTTTCACTCATTTAGACTTAAATCAGTGTAATTAATTACTGACTGGTTGCTTGTATGATAATAAGATGCTAAAGATTTGTATGCTAAAGGTTCACATCCACAACAGATTTTTGTTGTAGCAAAAGGTGCTATTGTTTATGTTTCGATTATTTAGTATATATTTAAGACCAATAATTGTTAGTCACTTAATTCAGGGGTTTTCAAACTGTATTATGCCAAGGACTACAAAATATGATGATCCCCTGTGTAGGACTGTGTCATAAGATATAAAGGCAGCTATATATATATATATATATATATTTATTTATTTATTCATTTATTTATAGGTGTGGTATTACAAAGACAACATGTTTCTAAAATTAAATGTTTTATTTTTCATAAATTTAAAAACATTTACATTTTTGAAAATTAAATATTTAAAATATTATCTGCAGAATATTTACTTTAAGTTGCAAGAGTATTTTTTTCTACCCACTATTAATGTAAAATGTATAACATTTAAACTGTCCATAGGATTTAATAATTCTGATTAATTTCATGATTTCTGATTAGATAGAATAAAACAGTAATAATATTATTTTTAATGTGTTAAAAATCAACTGAAACATGTAATTAATTATGTGCACTTTGCTAGTCCGAAAATACGACCTCCTAGCACTTACTTACAGAACCCTAGGACCCGGTTTGAAAATATTCCCCTGGTTTCATTACTTACGATTCCCATCTTATGTGTTTATGCAATGTGTGTGTGTGTGTGTGTGTGTGTGAGGGATAGAGAGAGTGATTGTGCAGGGTTTTTTTTTTCAGTTTTCTTTTTTTTTAAATTAACACTGTACAAAAATTCTATACACTAAATTGGAACTTTAGTTTTTTTTAGGTTAATTGCTGCTTTCATATTTTAAATAAAATAAGAGCTCATTGCACCTTTTGACCACTTTGAATTTGTTCAAATTGCCACTCGAGTTGAAACTCTACAGCCCTTCACTGTTTGTGTGTTTGAGTGAATATATAAAGCCCATTTCTCTATCATCAACAGAACTCTAGACAGAACATGTCAACTGCTCCCTGGAGTGTGTACTTGAATTTACATCAGTGTGTCCATTGTACGCAGGCTAACAAGCTATATCCCTGTAATGCTTCAGTAAGTTTGAGTAAGTTTTGACTACTCTCAGATGTGGGGAACAAAAGGGAACAGAGACGAAGAGGGGAAAAGAAACAAAAAATATAAAGAAAAGATGGATGAGTGCCTTAAAATAAAACAAAACAAGCTGTGGAATAAATGCAAGTAAAGTGACAAGCAGATATAACATTTTTAGAATGATATGCAGGATGTAGCAAAGGAGAGGTGAGAATGAAGAGAATGGAAAGATACTGAGATGCAACAAGGCAGAAAAAAGGATCTATTAGATGAGTGTGGGTTTCCTGGTGTTTGTGAATGGAGAGTTTAAAAGCTCTTCCTTCTACTCGTTGTAGCTTAGTAAAGTATATGCGCTCACTCAGAAGCGCTGGTGAAATCTGAATACAGTGTCATGTAATCCAATGTTATGCCAGTAGCTTTAGCTAGCCTGGGTGAAAGGAGTGAATAGGGTGAATGGAGCTCCCCGGAGTTGAATTACAGACCCATGAAAAGAAAGAGTGAGAGAAGGAGAGAATGGGGCAATGAGTCTAGAGCTCTGCTCTTGGTTTTTGTCCTAAACCTCAGAGGATTGCTCTTGCTTTGAGATGTTTGATTCGTCAGCAACTCATTTTCACTTTTGAGTGATTTTTGGCAAATATCCACTTTAACACTCCTAACTATGAATGGAACTAAATTATTCTGTTGAATTGGTGGCTTTTCAATTTTTTTTACATTAGATTTCTGTAGGATTTTAAACATTCTACCAGACAAATAAAATTGTATTGTACCATCTGAATGTAAATGATTTTTAAAAATCTTGAATTAGTCTGCGTTTACAGTATAAATAATAGAAAACTAACTCTTTTAGAAAAAAAAGTAATATTTGTTGGTTTTTTTTGTTAGTTTTTTTTTTTTTTGGACAAATCTTGTTAAGCACGAAAAAAAAGCAAAGAAAAATCTAAATGTTAAATTAGAGTAGAACTTGCCAATTTCTAAAAACACAGATGACATCACTTCCTCTTCATTATGTAATTTAAAGGGATAGTTCACCTTCAGTTGGTCCCCATTAGTGTTTTCTTTGTTTTTCTTACCCATACTATGGAAGTCAATGGGGACCAGCAACTGAAGGTAAACTATCCCTTTAAAATGACAGTTCACTATTATTTTGAGGTAAATAAGTGTTGTGATATCAAATTGATTTCATTTATCAAATTTATTTTTGTATTCGTATCAAAATTAGTATTGTATTTATTATTATATTCATTATATATTATTAATCATGTATGCATTATGCATTCATGCATTAAAACTTTTTTCTTCTATGACTTGGACACAGATTATTCAAATAAATTACTCAGAGTGATATATTCATAAAATGAATATGAAAATTAATTTTCTCTGTTTTATTTTAGAGAGAGATGGTTTACTCATCCCGGGACTCATCACCTACCCGTCGCCTCAACACTCTCCCTTCCTCCACTGCCTCGCCCTCCTCCAGCTCTCCTTCTCGATCTCGTCTCTCCTACAGCGGAGGTCGGCCCCCCTCTTTCGCTGGTCCGGGTCACCCTCACTCACAGGGTCCCCAGCATCCGTCCCACTCCCACCACCCTTCGCCCTCTCACGGACAGGCTCAAGGCCTAACCCCCTCCTCCTCGGCCATCCTGGAGCGGCGTGATGTCAAACCCGACGAGGAGATGTCTGGTAAAGGCATGGTCCTCCTAAAGAATGAAGGTCTTTATGCTGATCCGTACAGCTTGATGCACGAGGGTCGGCTTAGTATCGCTTCTACTCAGTCCCTGGCCACCATTGCCGACCCCTTCGGCTTCCCGGTGTCAGGAGGTCTGTACCGCAGAGGGTCGGTGCGGTCTCTCAGTACATACTCAGCTGCGGCGCTTCAAAGCGACCTGGAGGACAGCCTGTATAAGCCTGGAGGTTCTCTATACTCCGATACCTACAGCAGCTCCACGCTCGGCATGGGCTTTCGTCTGCCGCCTTCCTCCCCACAGAAGATTCCCGACGTGCAGCTGAGGGACAGGGATTCGTTCACTGGGTCTCCCAGCCGAGGGTCACCTGTGAGAACCACCTTCCGCAAAGACTCGGCTTCCTCTTCGGTGTTTGTGGAGAGTCCGAAGTCCAGACCCAGCTCCAGTTCTGAACCCCTAGGAGATGGGAGTAAGGGACCTGGATTTGGGTCGTCATTATCTGGGGGCGAGACGGACACACGGTGAGCACTAGCAAAAGTACATGTACATTCATGTGAGGTTATTTATTTACTTTTTCATTGACAAACACACATTTTCATGGACAAGAACGGAACGTCAGTCTGCACACTCTTAACATCAATTAATAAACAGCATTTAATAATATGCAAATGCTAGAAAGAAATCCTTATTAAAGGGATAGTTTACCCAAAAATGAAAATTATGTCATTAATTACTACCCCTCATGTCGTTCCAATCCTGTAAGTTCATCTTCAGAACACAAATTAAGATATTTTTGATGAAATCTGAGAGCTTTCTGATCCTGCATAGACAGCAATACAGCTGACACGTTCAAGGCCCAGAAAGGTAGTAAGGACATAGTTAAAATAGTCCATGTGACATCAGTGGTTCAGCCTTAAGGTCCTTGCACACGGAGTCCGAAATTTTCGTATGCGTTTTTTTTTTCTTTCTTTTTTTCATATTCGTCATCCTTTCCTATCAAAATGCTTGCTACGGATGCGAAAACGTAGAAAATCTAACCTGATCAGAATTTTTTTATGACGGATGAAAGTTTCGGAGTGTGTAAACGTGATTGACACAACGGGAGGTCGGATTTATTTTTTATTTATTTTATTTATTTTTATATTTAATATTTTAATTTATATTTTGGACAAGAATTTCGGACTCAGTGTGCAAAGACCTTTAATTTTATGACGCTACGAGAATATTTTTTATGCGCAAAGAAAACAAAGATAAAGACTTTATTCAACAATTTCTTATCTATATACAGTATACTGTATATTTAAATAACTTTTTTGAAAGTAATCATTTAGGAGCATATGTTATTGTTGTTTACGTCATGGTTGCACCATATGCATAATTCATTAGTCTTTAAACTAAAACCTTTGATTTTTTTCCAAAATCTTAAATATATAAAACATTAATATATATAGTACATTTATAAGAACTTGGCAAAGTTGGCACATGATTTAAACAAGCTTTTTAATGTCTCGTTTGCTTTATCTTGTTTGTCTTTATCGGATTTATTTTTGGCATTGTCTTTTCATTGGGATTTTCTGGGATGTTGTGGCACATTTTTTTAAGATACTGGATTCTTCTTACTCAGTTTTCTTCCAAACAGATTGATCTAACAGCTAAACAGTTTTTACTCTGTGCTAACCCTTATGAAAAATAAGTTTATTCAAGTGTGCTATTAGTATACTTCTTTTAAACTAAAAAATAGGAAAGTATACTTTTAGTCTACTTTTTATGTACTTCTCAGAAATGGACTTTATATACTTCTCAGAAATATACTTAAAATGACATTTAAGTATACTTGACTTATAGCCTACTTAGAAAAATTCTAAATATATTTGAGCTATACTTGTGTTCCTAGAATCCGTGTTTTCATTGTTATACGGTAGGGGGCACTAGTACACATTTTCTGTACAGAATTTCCAAAAAACACAAGTGAAGAAGAAACCGAAACAACAGATGCTTCAACATGTAGTCTAACACGATCATCAGACATAAAACAGCATCAAAACTGTGTAAAGTTGATGTAATGTCGACCAATGAAGAGGTAATAATGACTGTAAAGCTTTGGGGTGTTGATCGACTCTATCTACGTTTTGATTATCGTTCTGAATCCAATTCATAGTCTTTTTTTCAGCTTTTTGTTCAAAATGTTGTTTATTTCTTTTTTTTTCTTTTTTTTATGAAACTTACCCACATTTAAGTGTTTAAAAAAAGAATGCATGAAGCTAGAATAAAATGTTTTTGTTTACAAGCAGATACCCTGTTCTTTCTTTTGGTGTTTTGTATGTTCAGATATTCATATAACAAATATATATTACTACATAAAGTATACTTAAAATATACTTGAACTTTACTTAAGTATACTTAATAAAATAAACTTGAAGTATACTACTTTTTGGTAAGGGAAGCTACACCTACTCACTAGAAAATTAAACCTGTGCCCGGGCACTGGCACTTCATTATTGAGAGATCTTGAGTGATGCCCCTAGGCCAGGGGTGTCACATCCTGCTCTTGAAGGGCCACTATCCTGCAGAGTTTAGCCCAGTTAAACAAACCTGAACCAAAGTAATCAAGGTCTTCAGGACTGGGACAAGTTGGAGCTAAAGTCTTCAGGACGTTGGCTCTCCAGGACCTGGATTGAACACCCCTGCCCTAGACAATCCACTGTTAGGGGAAATGTTGCTGTCTTTGAACAGATATGACTGCCAGTAATGGAACATCTACTACTGTAACAGTGTTTAAGAGAAAATTTAAGCAAAAAACCCTGGGAAATGTATGTTAAAAAAAGTTTACACTTATACATTTTCTGTCTCTGTCTCGTTAGCAGGGATCGTATGGAGGCAATGGAGAAGCAGATAGCCAGTCTGACTGGACTGGTTCAGAGCGTCCTAACCCGAGCACCAGACAGTGACAGCACGTAAGACATGAATACATCCACAGAGCCATCTATGATCCATTTACATGGAACCAGTGCCAATCAGATGCTCACTTACATTGACAACCTACCTATAAAAGCCATCTCACTCATACAGGCTTCTGATAAGTCAGTCACAATAAGCATTTGACACGTAAAGACCATTGTACATGGTACACAGTAACTGTGTGAGTTCACAGTTCAACATATTTTATGGAGAAATAACATTATATGGAGAAATAAATGGCATTTTGTTGTTCATTTTTTGTATAGTTTGATAAGTTTTCACATGCAATGTTAAATACATAATTTACAGTAATCGCATAATTTATAGAAGCAGCCTGTTGTTTGTTAGCATTGAACTAAAGCAGTAGTGAGTGTGTGTTGTGCGCTCTCTTGTGTATGGAAAACATCTGTACTTAAGACTGTGTACCATGTACAGTGTCCTTGACACTAAAAAACAGTTTTACACAATACATTCAACCATTGCACACATGCTCACTGTTGTTATCATGGTTCCATTTTGCTATCATGCGGTAATATCCTGTGTTCTCTTGTTTGCTATATAGCCATTGCCTTTTCTTATGTTTCATAAGCTTGCAAAAATGTCTTCACTTGCTGACTGTAAGTGCTTGTATTGAACTTGTGTGTGCTGGTGGTCTTTTTTGTCCTGCGATGGCCATGAGTCTCTTTGTACCCGATGCTTTGATGTTGCTTGACATTTATTATCATTCATATTCGATGTGACAAGTCATTCACATCAACTATTTTATGAAAGGAAATGAATAATAATTAGATTCTAATCTCAAAAAGAGAGTTTTGAAGAAAGCATTGAGAAGAGATTATAAGATTATTGTATAAGTAGGGTGTTTAATTCAGATTAGGTTGAGTTAGAGTTAGAAATGCCTGATGTAAATCCTGTTGATTAGAGAGTTTTTTTTTTTTTTAGTGTATGAACAAAAAAGCAAAAAAGTCAGATAATCACAGTGCAAATCTGTGCATTTTGGTGTTAAAATCCTATAGCGCTGAAATTTGTGCTCATAATTTACCCTGGTGTAAATAGGCCTTAAAGATACTTTTAAGTGAGAGTTCATTGCTGACCTTTAGATGTTATTAAAGCCAGTGACTTGTGGTTAAGCATAGTGTTTAAATTGTTTTGGATTATAAAAAAATAGGTAGAATAGATAGAATGGGTCAGAATGAAGAATAGTATAATGTTGGGTTGTATAGTTCAGTTCTAATACACCACTATTCAAAAGTTTGGGGTTGCTAAAATTGTTTAATGTGTTAGAATGAAGTCTCTTATGCTCACCAAGAGTGCATTTATTTGATTCAGTAATAACAATAAGTAAGAAATACCACTCTAAAAAATGCTGGATTGTTTCAACCCAACTTTGGGTCAAATATGGACTAACCCAACGTTTGGGTTAAAACTTTAATTTAAAAATTTAACCCAACAGCTGGTTTAGTCCATATTTGACCCAAAGTTGGGTTGAAACAACCCAGCGTTTTTTAGAGTGCAGTAATAACAGTAATATTGTGAAATATTATTACAAATTAAAAACAACTCCTCTATTTAAATATATTTTGAAATGTAATTTATTCCAGTGATGCAAAGCTGAATTTTCAGCAGTCGTTACTCTAGTCTTCAGTGTCAAATCAATATAATATGGTGATTTGCTGGTCAAGAAACAGTTCTTATTACTATTAATGCTGGAAACTGTTTTTTTTCAGGATTCCTTACTGAATAAAAGTAATAATTTCTTTAAAAAAAAAAAATCTTATTGACTCCAAATTTTTGAACAGCAGTGTACATGTTTAACACAATTGTTTTATAGATTAAATAAAGCTGTGTTACTCAAAGAAATTGTAATGTGTGGAAATAGTAAAAGCGCAATAACAGTAGCATAAAACAAGATAGATAGCAAAACCTTTTGTTAGCCATAGAGAAGGCTAGTGTAGTCGTCGTGTTAGAGTAGTGTAGTGTCAGTGTAGTAATAGGTGCTGTAGTACAGTAGTAGTATCATGGCTGTATGATCCTCAGATGCGGCCTGCTGCGTCTCTGCATGATGGCGGGCTGCCCTCCGGACCAGGGGGCGGACTTTTCACGGCCCTTCCCTTTCTCTTCCAGCAAGAAGACCGAATCCACCAGCGACGGCTCCGCCACAGGAAGTGAGTCCAGCTACTTCTTTATGGTTTTCCAGAGCAGTAGTGAGGCAGGCTGTAAAGCTAATGTCTAAAATATCATGTTCTTAGTAGATCAGGCTGGCCCAAGTTTAAAAACTGCTGATCTCAAACAGGCCTTTGACATATTAAAACAACCAGACATGAATCTTCATCAGAGTGCACTTGAATGAAGGACCCTACCTTGTTTTCACTCCTTTGTTCTTCTTTGTCAGAACAACCTTGATGTTTTCACGGATATTGCTCAGTGCTCCTTTTTTTGTTAGTTTTCAGTTTTGTTCCTTCTCAAATCCGTAACGGGTGTCCTCAGAGAGCGTCTTCATCAGTGGCCAAGCCTTCAAAGGCTGCAGCCAGGGTTTTGATTTGCTAGATTTGTCTTTGAAGGTTCTTCACGGTTAAGAGAGGTGAGTCTAAGTCGACTCTCACCTCAGTAAAGGGCCATCGAGAGAGTTTCCCATGAGTCCTAGTTTCCCCTTTTGAATCTGATCCACGAAAAGTCCAATTCAGCACTCTGTTTCTTTACTTCATTACGGTTATTTAGTTAACTGCCAGCTGAAAGCTTCTAATGTATGTTACAGCTGGCCGGCTGAAGAAGAAAGGTAGCCTTGTCTCTGCTCTCTCATATTTAATTTGTCTTTCCTGGTGTATGTAGTGGGCGTGTTTGTTTTTATATATACGAAAATGTGATCCTTCTGTTTATTTAAAAAGATAGTCCACCCAAAAATGAAAATTCTGTCATCATTTACTTAGCCCCAGTAAAACCAGTCAAACCTGTAAGAGTTTCTTTCTTCTGTTGAGCACAAAATAAGGTATTTTGAAGGATGTTGGTCAAACATTTGATGGTACAGTAGCCATTGATTTCCATAGTATGGTTAAAATGCTATGGAAGTCAATGGCTACCATCAACTGTTTGATTATTCACATTCTTCAAAATATCTTCTTTTGTGTTCAATGGAAGCAAGAAACTCTTACAGGTTTGAAACAACATGAGGGTGAATAAATGATAGAAACGACAGAAGTTTCATTTTTTGGGGTGGACTATCCCTTTAATGCCTGATCCCACTGTAGTTTTCTATTGTATCTCTCCTTTGTGGCCTGTCTGCACTAGATCTGCTCTCCCTCAGTCTGTTTTCACTCCTAAACTTAACACATTCACACGCTGAAAATGAAGTGTGGGGAGGATGTGTTGATTTTCACATTTCCTGAATCTTGGGGAATCAGTACATGTACCCTTTTGTTAAAAACGACTGACTGGAGAGTGCTGGTATCTCTGTATTCCTCACTAACAGCATGTTCCTGAATGGGTTCTGGAGGTGACAACACGCTTTGTGTGTGTGTGTGGGTTAGTGTACCTCTGTCTGAAAACACAAAGGATGGGTGTAGAGCAAAAGTCCTTGATCTGGTTTCTGGTGAGCTTCCTTTCCGCAGAGTTTAGCCTCAATCCTAATCAAACACACCTGATCCAGCTAGTCAAGGTCACTTGATTGAATTTACAGCCAGGTGTGTTGAAACATGGCTGGAACTAATACTGTGTTCAAATCCTCCTGGGAAGTTCGTCCTTAAAAGTTCGGAAATCATAATTATGACATTATGAAGTGATTTTGCTCAGAATAAAATAGACTCGCAGGGCAGTTTCATATTTCTTTCTCTTGATTTTTTACTTACCGACTAAGACAGAAAGCTTTTAGAGCTAATAAAACAAAATAAAGAGCAATAATGAACATTAGGTGTGTAATTGTGTATTTATTGGTGTGTTTTATCACTCCATGCTTTCATGGAGAATCATTAGAAATGTACAGTACTTTGGTCTCCTCGTAAACCAACTAAATGACTAGTGTTTTCAGGCAAGCTTTATATTTATTGTTCTCTAACATTACACACAGAATCTGTACATAGGCTACTATACTGCACCATCAACATTCACAGCTTATGATAAAAAAACAATCTGCCGTAATTCTTTAATCGACCTGACCTCAACTTGGAAAGTCTGGGCTTAAGCAATCTTCAGGTCAGAAATATCACAATCATGAGCTTTGTGCTCATTAATAACCAAGCAAAGTCATATTTACCAGGAGTTTCCAGAAAAATATTAAGCAGCACAACATCAGCATATCAGAAGGATTTCTGAAAGATAATGTGACACTGGTGTAATGATGCAGCAAATTCAGCTTTGCCATCATAGTATGTAACAATATTACTGTTTAATCAAATAAATGCAGCTTTGGTGATAATGAGAAGAGTCACCAAGTCACCACTAATCACCAAGCCCAAATTTTTGAATGTGCTAATCTGCAGCACATGAGAGTGAATGATTTTGTAATTATTACCAATATAAAGCTACACACTCATAACTGTTTTCTTTATGCAAATATATTAATTGTTTGTTAAATTCCATGCATATAAGTAGTGTAAAAGTGATGCAGGTGCATTAATTTATATCTACTGATAAAACAGGAAACAAAGAGCTTTTGATCTTGTTCCATTTTGGATATTGTGTTTTCAACTAGAATGTGTTATGCAGTATATCCTAAAAGCAACTGCCTAACTTGGCTGTAAGAGCTTCCCAGGTGGACTTGAATCCAGCATTATCCTGCATTTCTGAATATTAAATATGACTTTGTTTGTGTTAAAATTTTAAACACATTCGTTGTAACTTGGAAGCAGCATAAACTCTGTTGTAAGGTCGATCTCCAGGAGCAGGACTAAACAATGCAGGTGTAGATGGGTAAGTGCAAAATAATTTGTATTTGATTGAGTGCGTCTTTCGAGCTGACAGTGTCAAATCTTTGTCCTGTGTTGTGGTTATTAGCGCTGACTCCATCTGCCCCGCTGGCACTGATGCCTCCGCCTTCATCTGGAGGCTCTCAGGCTTCCACCGTCTCCAGGCTACAGATGCATCTTCACCTGCACGACCTACAACAGAACGCCACCGATCTGCGCAAGCAGCTCGCACAGCTCCGTAAAATGCAGGTAAGACATTACAATCTCGTGCATCTTGACACACAGCAGGTAACTGAACAGGCATGACGTGATAAAGCGGCATGTGATAAATCACATCTCTTCCATGTTAATCTGAGTTTTTGTCCTTACCATGGGTGACCATCAACAATTTGTCACTTGCTTGGTTTCTATTTGGTTTCGACACGTCGCTCTAGGTAGTAATCTCATTGGGACTGCTCCACATAACTGGTTATGAAACTTTAAATCAAACTTCAAAGTTGTTCTGATTGACTGATTGTGGCATTTAGCTTTCAGGGAGTTCAAGTTAAATCACATTTATTTATAGAGTGCTTTGTATAATACAGACTGTCAAAAAGCGGCTTCAAAGGAATAAACAGGAAAATAATAGTTTTAATACTGCAGAATTCCTGATGAAACGAATTCAATTTCAGCTGTAAGCAGCTTTACAAAAGACAATAGTGTCATTATTCAGCTCAATTTAGTTAAATGTTGAGGACACAAATGTTTTTTGATGCTCAAAACTTTGTAATTTCGCTCCTACTTAGAAAGGTGTCACTTTTCGATTGACAACAACACTCACAGCATCAGTGCAAATGATCACACATTACACAAAATACTGCTCCAAATTGCTTTCATCTGATAACTGTGAATTATGATAGCTGTATTTTTGCTTAGTTTCAGTCATAGAAACGCACACTACTGGCACAGTTGGAAGGTCAGACATTGTCATTATTGTAAGACCTCCGTCTCAAAGTAAGGAATAACTGACAACAGACCCCTGAAATATTGAAAAATTTAATGCATACCTGAGGTCGAAATGCAGCATGATGCGAAGCCAATTACCTGTTACTCTTTAGATGTGTATTCAAATATTAATTCTTAAGGCAGTTCAGTGTCAGTTATTCCACTTATACCATGGAAATCACTTGTACATGTGCTAGACATTGGTTAAGTGTAAAACACTATTCGCAGACCTGGAAATACCTCATAGCCATATTGGAATAAGTGTCAACCAGTCAGAATCAACTGAACAATGCTAACACCTAACACTGCAAGCCATCTAGATGTTTGCCTGCTGGCAGGGAGGACGATTTAAGGAGGTGATACAGAAGGTGATACAGAAGGCACAGACGGCAGGAACAGCAGTGCCGATTTGTAGTCTTCACAATATCTCACAGTCTAATTTATTTACACACAGCAGCGAAAAACAAAGAGGACGTGCTGAATGGCCTCACCTGGTATTTACGGCAGATTTGTTGCTCCCTGTCCTGATGGTGTTCAGTGAAATGCATCGATCTTGGTCATGTTTAGAGTTCAGTATGGAAAGTTTGCATGCGTTACACACTTCAACCTCCAAACCAGAGGACTTGATGGTAAAATCAAACCTATTTGAACGTTTTTTAACATTTTTGATTGTGTTACTGATGATTTTAATACATATTTGCAAAAGATAGACACTGACAATTTTGGATTCAAAATCACTTACTTTTTACATTACAGAAAGTTTATATTGAAATGCTGGTGTTCTGTACCTGTGTGTGTTAAGTTGGGCAGAAATACAGAGAAACAGACAGAAAAGCGGAAGAAGAGTGATGTTTGATAAGTTACCTCTATGGGGAACAGGGAACATTCAGATACTGTATCAGTCAGAAACGTATGTCAAAATGTCAGATTTTTTAGATATGGACCAACTATCTCAAGACAGCAGTCGTCTCTGACGAGCAGGATGGATATAGAATCTGATGTCTGAATGGGGCAAAATGTCTTAAATGTCTTAAAAAATGTCTTGTACAGCCAGCTGTCAGATTATCATGGTGACATGTTGAGCAGGAGTATGATAAAGGGAAATGTTGGTGTTGGTGAATGTGTGAAGGAGGAGAGAAAGGAAGGATGTGGAGGGAGCTTTAGGGAGGGCTGAAAGCCAGCAGAGAGGAGACGGCACACTAACAGTCTGACAGATCCTATTGGGTTGTGTGTCTGTCATACGCTTTCCTTTCTGTATTTACAGAGTTCCCACAGTCATGCAACACCTGGAAATGCGAGGGAATTTTTCTATTATTTTTTCTAGCCTCAAAAAGTCAAGGAAATTTTTACAGTGGAAAATAATTTTTTCTAGCTATGCTCAGCTATAAAATTGCATCAGACATTTCTCTTTGTGAGTGCGGTGTCTACAAACAGGGATCTCGCAGCAATGAATCTTCATGACTTTTCCAGTCATCCATGATTTCTAAGAATAATATTATATGGATTGCACTCACCAAGAGCAATTTTAACTCATTAAATATTTCAAAACGAAGCATGAATAAATAAAAAAGAAAAAATAGATTATATATATTTAAAATTTATTTATTTTTTATTATTTTTTTTTACTTAACAGGGACATTGTACATTAACATTATTTTTCAACCATAGTCCCTGGACAGAATGTTACAAGTCTTACAATTTACGAATAGAACATAGTCTATATATAGAAAGAGATTTTTTTTAAATATTTATTTACATTTATTTTTATCCAGCATGGATGCATTTCTATTTAACAAAAATGCTGTTATTTTGAACTTTCTATTCATCAAATAATCCTGAAAAAATGTAAAACAGTTGCCACAGAAATATTAAACAGCAACAACTGTTTGACACATTGATAATAAGAAATGCTTCTTGAGCAGCAAATCAGCATATTATAATGATTTCTGAAGGATCGTGAAGACTGGAGTAATGCCTGCTGAATATTTAGTGTTGCCAACATAGGAATAAATAACATTTTTAAAATATGTTATAATAGAAAAATATATAATGTAATATATTATAATAGAAAGTTGTTTTAAATTGTGTATTACAATATTAAAATTTTACTGAATTTTTGATTAAATAAAGGCAGCCTTGGTGAGCATAAGAGGTTTCTTTCAAAAACCTTTAAAATCTTACTGACCCCATACTTTTGAACAGTAGACACACATTGTGTGTATATATAAAAAAAGAACCATGAACCATGACTGGAAAGTTTTTGGGAAGCCATAGAAATTCATTGATCAAAAAATGTGGGAATGCTGTATTTATTACACTACTGTGTATAAGTATATCTAAGTGTATGTGTATGAGTGTATTTATGTGTAAGTGAACATGTGTTCAACTAGTCATTAATTTTCCGGCTGCTGCTGTGTGTGATTCACTCCTATAGCAGGGCAGGCAATAACTCTTAATATCATGCTCAATGATGAGATGGTATGGGCCAGCAGGGATACATAGATGAAGAGAGAGAGAGAGGAAGCCTGCCCCAAATCAAGTTAGCTTTTCAATCAGCAGTGCTTTAATAAAAATTGACTGTGGAATGATAGCTACCGGTGTGATTCATGAGTGAACACCCGCATCTCTACCGTGAACTCTCTGAATAAACAGAGAAAAACAGGAAAGGAAGCTTTTAGAGAGACGTCTGTTTCTCTCAATGGAAGCAAGGAAATTTGAACTTTTATACAAAGGAGTTCACATGATTAATTTGCTTATTCAATTAGTGACCTAGAAAGAGTGCAAAATCTTAAATATTCCTTTGTTATTTCCTACACAATGGTTCTTCGTGTTCAAACACCTAAAACCATTTATTTCCATATGGAATTTTCTAAAAGATTTAGATTTCAATATATGGAAGATGAAAAATTGTAGTCCTTATTACATAATATAAACCCTGCAGCTGTAAAGAGTCTGCATTTGCAAAAGAAAGACAATCCAATACTGCAAAAAACGAACAAATAATTATAAAATATAAAATATTCTTAATTATGAAATAAAATATATAGTATATATTAAAGGGGTCATATGACGTTGATAAAAATAACATTATGTTGTGTATTTGGTGTAATGAAATGTGTTTATGCGGTTTAAGGTTAAAAAAACATTATTTTCCACATACTGTACATTATTGTTTCTCCTCTATGCCCCGCCTTTCTGAAACGCGTCGATTTTTACAAAGCTCATCGGTCTGAAAAGCGAGGTGTACGCTGATTGGCCAGCTATCCAGTGCGTTGTGATTGGCTGAATACCTCAAGCGTGTGACGGAAATGTTACGCCCCTTACCATACTGTGATGCCGTGTCCCGGCACGATGAGACAACACCAATAAAACCCATTACAAACGAGGCATTTGTTGCATCCAGTGGGGACATAATTATGGATTATAATGACTTATACTGTCTTTTTACGCGTTGCGTTGCATCGCGCCGCGTAAACATAAAACCATGTCTGCATTTGTGATCGGAGAAATGACAAACAACAAGTGCTACTCTACACTGCCCAAAACTCGCGTTTGAATCGTCAGTGGCAAATCCTTTAAATATGAAAACTTACTTACAGGCTTAATACTTACTGGTCAGAAGATGCAGAGACACAGCAGGCTACATCTGGTCAGAAGTGCCAGACTGTCCTTGCAAAGTTGGAACTGCCCCACTTTATAGAAACAGCCTTTTTGCACAGACGCATTGTAGGATACTCTGCGGGTTCAGGAAACAGTCCTCCATAAAATATCTCTTTGGGTTTGAGACTTTAGTCTTTGCATCTTTAGGGACCTTATCTATGCACGAACAGCTTGTAACACTCCAAAGAGAAAGGAAAATTTGAAATTGCATCATATGACCCCTTTAAGCATAATACGTACAGTATATGTAAGTATCTACTAGTACTTAAAACAAGATAATTTTGCTAGAGAAGTGAACTTAAAAGCAAACCTGAAAGCAACCTGCTTGGGAAAGAGTTGTTTTGCAAAATGTTTTTACACTACTTAAAGCCTTTATGTATAATGCATTATAAAAGTAGTTTTAATGCATTGTAATGCACCTTATAATGCATTGTACAATATCATGAATAATTGTAGAGGGGATGTTGCAACAGTCTGAGCATGTCGCGTGGGGACGGCGAGATTGGTGTCAATTGCTTTGGTGTCGAGAGCCAAGCCGCTGGTGTCATGACAACTGCAGATTGCTGAGTTAGACTATTACCTGCCTGAATGCCAGAGCTGGAGACACGGCCCCTGCCCTCATCCCGTTACCTAGGAGACATGGATATGTTGAATAATGCATGAGACTCATAAATAATTCAGCTTGAGGAGGAACTACCACCAAATGACACTAAAATCGCATCGTACACACAAACGTAGAGTGTGCAAAAACACAGTGGTTACACACTTTTCTCATTATCGGCGCTATACAAGTGACAAAGTCCACTGTTTTTCTCTCAGGGCAAACAAACATTGTCTGCAGAGCGCTTACACATCACAAAATTATGGTGATATCTGGTATTCCAACTCCCACACAACCTTCAACATGCACAAATTGAAAATACTAGAAAATAAACTCAAGGACATGGATGCGCATTCACATTAGGGCATTCAAGAGACCTTAAACTAATGTGATCCATCATACGGTATATATGCACACACTATCAAAGTCAAGTCTATAATATTATACCTTCACATTCAAGATGACAGCTGCATATGGTCAAAGACAGGTCAATGTTAAATATGGATACATATATGAGTCATCTGATGGCTGTGTTGTGATGGATTGTGACAGTGGACCCTCTGTAAAACGCTCCCACACTGATACACCTGAAACGTCTGACGACTGTAATGCTTAACAATCGTTCATAGATTAATGCTGAACATAGAAGGGCTGCGATTGGTTGTTGGGAATATTGTTCTAGAAACACCATAGGAGGCTGATCAAGTAACATGTCCTGCGTTATATAAATCACCTCAAGCAGTGGTTCTCAATTTTTTTGACCGAAAGCCTCTGCTGTCCAACACAATATTTTAACACCCCTCCCCCATGTTGGTAAATATTTCCAGTATTTCTACTGTAATTATAAAAAATCTGCTTAAAACTTTATTAACAGACACTGAAAGCATTGAAATATTAAATGAACAATTATTCTATATGTTCTTCAGTGAAATAAGATAAAATATGATTTTTAGTTATTAGATATTTATGTAATAGTTTATGTTTTATGCATTTTTTATTTCTCAACTGGAGTTGGATTATTCCGAAATGTTAATTTGAGATATATATAAATTTATTTCCCTTTAATTTTAAAGTCGTTCTTTGGCTCCCTTGGAAATTTGATGAGGACCACTAGTGGGCCCTGGCCCTCTGGTTTAATAATGATACACTGAAAAAAATAGCTATGAAACAATTTTCACTCAGAAATTTTCCCATGAAAATGTTCCCTCTAGCAGCTTAATTGGATTTACACAGCCATACATGTTTATAATATGCGTTTACGTGACAAAGGCATAGCTAGCTAGTCGTTGTAACGTGTTTTCAGCAATACATTTCTAACATTTATAATGTGTTTAGAACCAGTTCTCTAAATTGCCTTTACACTGACTTTAATTGGTTTGTATTTGTGTGTAGTTGCAGAACCAGGACTCCATGCGCAGTCTACTGAAGAGGACCGAGGCAGAGCTGAGTCTGCGTCTATCAGATGCGCTGAGAAAACAGGAAGACCCTCTCCAGAGACAGCGCCTCCTAGTGGAAGAGGAGAGACTCAAATACCTGAACGAGGAGGAACTCATCATACAGCAACTGCAGTGCGTCTCGCACACAATATGTGCGATAATAATGCAGTCTGAGGCACTAGCTTAGTGACACTGCTGCATAATGTTGAAAAAAAATTATTTCCCAGTTAGTTTTATTGCACAGGTTCTCATCAACTCGAAAGTGAATAAATGCATAACAATGAGGCATAAACAGTCTCAGTTAAAGACCTGCAGACCCGCACCTCAGCGTTAGCCTGTACAAACAACGGACAGCATCTCATTGATTTATTTTCTTCCAATTAAAAGCAGCAGGGTGACTAAATCCGCCTCTTCAACTCGCTGCCAGATCAGTCGTGTTGCTTTTCATTGATAGCAGTTATTAAGTATAGCTAACAGCCAGCTGATGTGATTCAATTATTAACGGGACGCTGTTTGTAACAAACCATTTTGTGGGGGGTGGATTTATTTGACGTGGTTAAATTGGATTTCGCGTGTAAACACTCCGACTGTGTCTCAGTCGTTTAGTGCTAATACACCCTGCTGCACTGACACTTATTCAAATGCGTGCCGACGCCACAGCGCAGGGAGGCGGGCTTGGGATTTTCACACGCATCTCGTGCTACATTTTTGAACTTTTAAATGTCAGAAACATCAAAACGTGCAAGATTCCCTTCTGTGTAATAACACAGCGTCAATTAATATGTTCTTTCTGAAACAATCAATATGTAATGAAGCTAATGAGTGGGTGTTTGCTCTTGACAGTGATCTGGAAAAGTCAGTGGAGGAAATCAAGAAGGAGATGTCTGTCAGTCACCGACATGTGACAGTGCAGGAGCTGGAGGAGAAAAGCTCGCTGCTGAGGAAACTGGGAGAGACTCTCACCGAGCTGAAGAGTGAGACAGACACTTTTCTGTCCTTCACAGCCAGACACTTGAACCTCAGTTTGAGAAGAGAGTTGTTCACTTCTCTGCCCGTCTGTTTTTCTCTTTGTCTCTCTCGTTCAGATCAGTTCCCGGGGCTCCAGAGTAAAATGCGAGTGGTGTTGCGAGTGGAAGTGGAAGCGGTGAAATTCCTGAAAGAGGAGCCACACAGACTGGACGCTCTGCTTAAACGCTGCAGATCTATCACAGACACTCTCACCACGCTGAGGAGGTAGACAAACACTTATTTAATCATTCCTTGTCTAGCCGCACGTCTCAAATGTAATTTACTCTTCATTATTGTGAGTGCTGTTTTATGGTTTAATCAGGCAGGTGAATGAAGGAGTGTGGAAGACCCAGGATGAGTATTCCAGCCCCTTTCCTAAACTCGGAGGAGGGGATGAGTACAGGAAGAACACAGACTTTAATATTCCAACCAGTCCACCGCTAAACCTCAATGAGACCAGCCTGGCTAACTGGAGCCCTCACTCTGGTCAAGGCCACAGCCACTCGAACCCTTCTAGTGCACAGCGTGAGAAAGATTCTCATGGGATGGTGGGCTCGTTGAAGGGGCGAGAGCTGGGCGAGCTGGGAGGTCGAGGAGGGTCTGATAAGGCCTCATCCGTGGAAGTGAGACTGGTGAGGAATGAGATTTAAAATGAAAGAAATCATTTGTCTAAATGTATACAATAGCAATACCTTTTTTTATTTAGTAATGTTGTTTTAATATGTAAAGGTCTGACGTCATTAAATTAGACAATAGTATGAAGGTATATTTTTAAATTAGAAATTAACCTTGGAAAATTTGTGTTGCTAAAAAGAATGACAGTTGATTAATCAACCATTTAAAATACTTATTATGCAAAAGTGGCAGTAATAAAGTTCATAAAGATAAACAACCGTTCAAAAGTTTGAGGTCAATAAGGTTTTTTTTTTTCAAAAGAAATGAATGCTTTATTCTCCAAGGATCAAATTGATTAAAGGTGACATTAAGAACATTTATAGCGTTACAAACCATTTCCATTTAAAAAAAAAAAAGCTTTTTATTTGCTTTCTATTCATCAAAGAATCATGAAAAAAGCATGAACTATTTTCATCATTAATAAAATAAATGTTTCTTGAGCAGCAAATCAGCATATTATAATGATTTCTGAAAGATCATGTGACACTGAAGACTGGAGTAATGATGCTGAAAATTCAGCTTTGCATCACAACATTTTAAAATATATTCAAATAGAAAACTAACTAATTTTACTGTTTTTACTGGATGTTTAATTGAACATTAAGTGTAACTTAAGCGTCCAGAAATATCTAAATCTGTTTATGTCGATACATAGACAATGTCTCCATTACATTACATCAAACATATTTCAAAAGAGAAAATGTTTATATATATATATATATATATATATATATTTATATAAGCATGATTTTTTTTCTTTTGAAATAAGTCCCCTTTTTAAAAAAATGCATATTGTATATACAGATTTGTCCATTTGTCTTTGTGTATATAAACAGAAATCAGAATCAGAGGAGACTAAGAACATTTATAGCGTTACAAACCATTTCCATTTAAAAAAAAAAAAGCTTTTTATTTGCTTTCTATTCATCAAAGAATCATGAAAAAAGCATGAACTATTTTCATCATTAATAAAATAAATGTTTCTTGAGCAGCAAATCAGCATATTATAATCTGTTTATGTCGATACATAGACAATGTCTCCATTACATTACATCAAACATATTTCAAAAGAGAAAATGTTTATATATATATATATATATATATATATATTTATATAAGCATGATTTTTTTTCTTTTGAAATAAGTCCCCTTTTTAAAAAAATGCATATTGTATATACAGATTTGTCCATTTGTCTTTGTGTATATAAACAGAAATCAGAATCAGAGGAGACTGAATCTCAGAAGCCACACGTTAAGCTGAGGAGGAGTATATCTGAAGTCCCCCGACCGGCCTCCACCCCTCCGACCATCGCTGGTGGAGAGCGAGAGGAGGGCAACGAGGAGAAGTTAGCAGCTGAGCTAGAGGTGAGCACATGTATTACACCTGAGGAGTCACATCAGACCAAGTGTACCCTAACGGCTGAAGTGTTAATTATTCATCAAAGAATCATGAAAAAAGCATGAACTATTTTCATCATTAATAAAATAAATGTTTCTTGAGCAGCAAATCAGCATATTATAATGATTTCTGAAAGATCATGTGACACTGAAGACTGGAGTAATGATGCTGAAAATTCAGCTTTGCATCACAACATTTTAAAATATATTCAAATAGAAAACTAACTAATTTTACTGTTTTTACTGGATGTTTAATTGAACAAATGCAGTCTTGGTAAATGTAAGAGACTTCTATCAAACACACACACACACAAAAAATCTTATCGTCCTCAAAATTTGAATAATAGTGCACATGTGCATATTTCTTCCTTTTGAAATCTTGTTGTGAATGTGTTTAGAGTTGAAAAGTCGGACTTTGTGTGAATAGGCTTTAACAGTTCAGCTTCTTTACTAGCTGTTTTGAAGCACTGATGATCTTGTAAAATGTAATCTGTATGTCTCCTCAGGCAGCAGAGCGGGATTGGGAAGAGAAGAGAGCCAGTCTAACACAGTACAGTGCTCAGGACATTAATCGACTGTTGGAGGAGACTCAGGCTGAGCTCATGAAGGCCATTCCTGACTTGGACTTTGCTGCCAAGCAGATCAAACCTGCTCAGAACCAGATTCAAAACCAAAACCAGAGCCAGAGTCCATCTAGCACCAATGCCACACCTGAACACAAGCCTAATAAACCTCAGAATAAACTTTCCAGTAAAGACAGCGGATCCAGACGAGGCTCGGATGAACTGACGGTGGCGAGGTATCGAACGGAGAAGCCCTCAAAATCCCCCCCTCCTCCACCTCCCCGCCGGAGTTTCCCCTCCTCCCCTGGCCTGACTACACGCAGCGGAGAGATGATCATTCCTGGAAAGAGTATAAAGGTGACTGGTGACATTCAGAATGACACCCACACACTGATGATTTTGCATGTGTGTGTTTATGCATGCAAACTTTCTCAAACATTTATATGCAAGCTGTTACTGAAAGAGCAGTCAGAGGAGTCAGGGTAACACACTAAATCACTTTTATTTGAGTGCAGGGTCTCAAAAATGTCAGGCATCTCATAAAAGCCGCCTGTGTTTGTGGGTGTGTTAGTCATGGTTGATGTTTACTCTATCACCTCAGTTGTTCCTATGGTAATAAATCAACTGTCGGTCACAGGTGAATCTGAGAGAGACTGAGAAAGATTAAGATGGTTCTAGGTGTTAATTTCTCTTGTGTTTACTTTTAATTAAGATTCAGTCATTACATTACAATGGGATATATTCTGTACTTTTGCAGCCTTTTAGTTATTATTTTCTGGAATTCTGTTATCATGTCAGTCAAAACCGCCATAATTAATTTTACATGATTCATTCATTCATTCAACCATATAAATAAAAAAATATTAGTATTTTTAAATATTTATATAATTATTTATTAATTTGTAACTAATAAATTAATGTTTATATTTTAGAATATTTATATATATTATTTATTTAATTATTTCAAAGAAAAACAAACAAATAAATAAATGTTTTTTATATTTATTTAGCTGTGCAATTACATTCTCACACACACACACACACACACACACACACACACACACACTCATACACATTGGTGGCTTCTACCAGTTGGCGGGTTCGCTCATTCATTAAGCACACATTAGCAGGCAGGAGATCTGAATTTCTGTCTGTGCTCTTTGGCTCATGAACTATAAAGCTCAAATGAGTGGTTTGACAATGTTGTGTGCTGTACTGATCTAAAGTGCTGTTAGTTAGGCACTGGTGAGTATATTGTGGGATACCGTTTGTGTCTAATTTAACTGTACATAGAATCAACAACCATAACATCTAATATATGCCATCTCACTTACCCATATACTTTATCTCTAGATGCATTAGCAACTTCAGAGTAGGGTCATGCACCACTCAAATTGAATTGGGAATGCCTTCTACATACTAATTCTATTCCAGAATTTCAACTGAATTTAAAGGATGCAGAACTGTAATTCAAATTAGAATTTAAGGAAATTCAAAGAAATTCATATACAGTACCTGCTGTAATACTGATGTTCTGTCATACCTACAACACACACTGGATATTTCTAAAAGCAGTACACATTATTAATAATCAGTCTTTGTAAATTCTATAATTAATTTAAATTTCATTTAATATTTTATATTATATTATATATATACACTGTTGTTCAAAAGTTTTAATGTTTTTGAAAGAAGTCTCTAATGCTCTCTAAGGCTGTGTTTATTTGATTATAAATACTTTAATACTGCAATATTGTGAAATATTATAAAATATTATTTAATAACTATTTATTGATAAAACTGTTATTTAAAATAACTATTTTAATAGATTTCAAAATATAATTTCAGCAGTCATTACTCCGGTCCTTCAGATTCAGAAATCATTGTATTATGCTGATTTGCTGCTTAAGAAACATTTGTTATTATCATCAATTTTGAAAAAAAAAATATTAAAGTAAAAAAAAAACAGCATTTATTTGAAATACATTATTGTAACATGTAAATGTCACAAAATGTCATATAATGTAATAGACTGCATCCTTGCTGAATGAAAAAAATACATCTTACTGACCCTAAACCTTTTGACAGTAGTGTATATATATAATCTATGGGGAAATTATTATTGTTATTTTTAAAGATTGTACTTTTAATCAGTTCATTTCAGTTCAATTTGTATTATTTTAAACAACAAACCTTAAATAATTAATTTTACCCAGTCCTACTTCAGAACATGCTTCAAATCTTTTTTATATTTGTTTAATTGATGCACAATTAAAAATTCTAACCTCTCTCCCCAGCTGTCTCCATTTACATATTATCATTTTACCATGGGGCCATAACAGTGCATTTCTCCTGACTGACACTGCTTGAGCTGTGTTGGTGTTGATTTTAGGCTTCCTTGACCTGCTTCAGGCCAGCAACACACACACACACACACACACACACATAAACATGGCACACAAATTACAAGGCTCATTAACACCAACAAGCAGACAGATTTTGTTGTCTTGGTTGAGTGGATGACAGGGAAAGCAAGCAGATGTCTCTTGTCCTCCATCCCCACTGCATGTCTCTGTTGGAAACCCTGTGGAGACCTGTGGAGATCTGGGCACTGCTGCAGTGACACCATACCCACCTCCCTCTTAAACCTAATGAGGCTCACAAGCTGCATCTCAAAACAAACCCATAACTCTGTAACACCCGCACTCTACATACACATTCATGAACAGAAATAGCTGATCTCTAAACATTGTTTAAAGGTGCAGCATGTCATTTCTGATGTTCCGTCAAATTATAATGTCATTTGGTGTAAATTTGATTTAATAAATTATGGGATTTACAATTCTGTACAGTATGTGAATGTGCATAACCTAAATGATTGAGTTTCAGAGTCTTTAGAGCTTTTCATGGGAAATCCTGAAATGTCATGGTCTGAACTGATATTGTGCATCCCATATTTTTCATTCATTCTCTTCAATCTCCCTGACGCTCAGCTCTTTGAGCGACATTTGACTCTGCCCCTGCCCTCTCCCAGGAAATATCCTCCTCCCTCTAGTTTACAGCTGTTGCCCCATGTGTCCTCGTCTGGACAGGTAACAACCCCTGCTGCGAGCTAGTGTGGACTGCTGTTGTACACTCATGCACACACATGAATCTATATTTTTCCCTCTAAAATGTTAGTCATACTCCAATATAGACAAAGAAAACTCACTGCACTCAAACTAAAGACCAAGGATGCTCTTTGATATTCCCACATCACAGTGAGCACGATCACAACTACACAATCACCACATACTGTACATTGTGTGTGTGTGTGTGCACTTGCCAGTGCATGACTGTTTTGTGTTGAAATGCCCAATTTCTAATTTCTTCCACTGAAGCTAAAAGTGGTTTGATATTGCAGTGTGGTAGCTCTTGCCCAGAATTTTTAATTTTGCTGTTTTTACATTTTTAAGTGAGCACAGAAGCAAAGCTCTGTGATCTTTAAAGGAATAGTTCACCTAAAAATTAATGTTCTATCATCATTTACTTACCCTCATGTCGTTCCAAAACCATATGACTTTCTTCTGAGGAACAAAGGAGGAGACGTTTTGTTTTACTATGCTCTTTTTCATGAAGTAATATGACTGGGGACCAAAACTTTCAAGATTCAAAAAGTATGCAAAAGCATTAAAGATAACATAAATGTAGTCCATATTCCAAGTCGTCTAATTCCAGAATATTTTTAAATACTAAAAGTAATAATAATGTAAGTTCATGAGAGGAATAGCTGGTTTGTAATTAATTCTTTAGAATTCTTTTCGTTATTTCTTTGAATCAGTTAATCCGTTTCACAAAACTAGTCTGAATGATTTGTTCACGAATCACGCTCTCGAGCTCAGCTCACTGACTCAATGATTCAGTCACAAGTTAAAGGGTTAGTTCACCCAAAAATGAAAATTCTGTCATTAATTACTCACCCTCATGTCGTTCTAAACCCATAAAACCTTTGTTCATCTTCGGAACACAAATTAAGATATTTTTGATGAAATCCGAGAGCTTTCTGACCCTGCATAGACAGCAATGCAACTGACATGTTCAAGACCCAGAAAGGTAGTAAGGACATAAGAGTAAGAAGTAAGAAAATAGTCCATGTGACATCAGGGGTTCAACTAGAGCTGCACGATTAATCGAATGCGATTAATCGCGATTGTAATGCACATTTTGTCAGTTAAGCCGGTTCTGTGATTAGTAGTAAATCTCCATCACCTGCTTTCAGGTGTCTTCTCAGTGAACTACGGCTCTGTGTGTAGTAAATGCTGCTCCATCTGAGAGCACATGAAAATACCACATTTAATAACATGTTTTTACTCCAAACTCACTTCATAACGTCAGTCGAGTGTTTGAAATAAATCCTTCTGTGAGATGATGTGGCTTCTTACAAAGAATAATTAAGGCACACAATATTTCATTGTATTCTAAGCAGTGATAATGTCTATGTCGATTAGCATTTCATTATAGATATACTTTATTATGATGAAAATGATAATAATAAGAACTCAGATAAACCATATATTGCCGTAGTCGTGTGTTTATTAGTCACGTTGAATCAATGAAAGTAGTTAAATCTTCTGTTTATTCAGCTGCAGCGATAGGCATTTCCTGGATTTCTTCTTCAGGGCATATTTGGATTTTCACCGCGAGAGCGCCCTCTGGCCTTCGGATGGAGATTTACTACTGATCACAGAACCGTGCTTCACTCAAAGATACACATGACAATCGCAGCTTCTGCCTAATCACGATTTATTGCCTTTGCGATTTAATTTCGATTAATTGTGCAGCCCTAGGTTCAACCGTAATTTTATAAAGCTACGAGAATATTTTTTTTCTGCAAAGAAAACAAAAATAAATGTATTCAATGATTTCTTCTCTTCTGGGTCAGTCTGCTGCCATTCATGAGAGTACCACAATGCATGTGTGTGGAAGAGAAGAAATTGTTGAATAGTTGTTATTTTTTATAGTTGTTATAAGTTATTTTTGTTTTCTTTGTGCACAAAAAGTATTCTCGTAGCTTCATAACATTGCGGTTGAACCCCTGATGTCACATGGACTCTTTTAACGATGTACATACTACCTTTCTGGGCCTTAAACATGTCAGTTGTGTTGCTGTCTATGCAGGGTCAGAAAGCTCACAGATTTCATCAAAAATATCTTAATTTGTGTTCTAAAGATGAACGAAGGTCTTACGGCATGAGGGTGAGTAATTAATGACAGAATTTCCATTTTTGGGTGAACTATCCCTTTAACAACTAAAATAGAGGATAAGATTATGAGTGAATAACTATGTAGATTGTAGTCAGTTCCTCACAAAGCAAGACTAGCATGAGTCAAATGTACTATTTTGAACTATTTTTATAGTTCTTTTGCATTTTTTTAATTCAGACATTGAAACATTGTTGTAACAACGTTAGTAGGTCAGGAAGAAGGAGGCGGGAACCGGCGAACGTTCAAAGAAAACTTTAATAATAAAATAAACACAAAATAGCACAACAGCCCGTCGCGGACGACTGTCGCGCACAAACAGAACCAAAATACAAAATAAAGTCCAGGCCTGGTCCTCTCTCGTCTTTCACTGTCGTAACTCCTCCTTTTATCCTTCCGGAGCTCCTCCGTGGGACTCGAAACCGGTGAGTGGTGCAGGTGTCGCTCATTATCAATTACTCCACCGGCCTCGCTCCGTTCCCACGGCTCTCGGCCCCGCCCCTCTCGTCACAATTGTAATTACATGAAAAAGAGTAAATATAAGTAAGTAATATAAGTAAAAGTAAATGAGGACTGAATGGTTTTTGAGTGAACTATTCTTGGTTGAACGCATTTAAATATTTGTGATTTCTTTATTTAATTTTGTATTTGTATGTGTGCTACGCTACATATGTGCCAACAGTTGATCGCATCTAAGGGTGGTGATGATCACTTCAGTGATTTTACAGAGAAATCTCTGGTAAGTTTATTTTAGCCACCTTTACATTAACCTTACAACTTCATACATTTATGATTCACATTCATGGGTTAAGTATACAAATTACTCCTGCTAAATTGCAGATGCAGCACGGGATGTCCTCCACTCCAGTTCCCCAGATAGTCTTAACCGAGTGTAACTCTCTCCCCATGTCCCCCTCTGAGGACTCAGCAGAGACCCGGCGGTCTGACAGCAAGCAGACAGTTAAAGACAATAACACTGGAAATGACATCAGAGTAAGTTACTTCAGCCACATTGTGAGGACTCCCCGTCTGCCGCTATGGAAACAAGACTTGTCAGCCAGCCAAAAAGTCCCTCAATCACAAGACTTGGATGCAGCCCAGAGGGAACTCCAGAGTCCCGTCCAGGATGTGACCCAGTCGTGCCCACCCTTAACAAGCGAGAGAGCAATTAAACAGCCCCTGAGGAGGGAGCCAAGGGTTCAGGAGTCTCTCGAGGCGGCGACAGGAAAGAAAGAAGAGCGAACGAGAAAGTCGGACACTGCATTGTCTGTCTCGCCGCAAAACGGGCCCGTAGAGACATCTCAAGTGGGTTTGATCTGCACTCAAGGCGTTGGAGGGGAAAAGGAAGACATCTGCCACAGCACGTTCCGTCGTCTGGACAGTCTGGAGGAAACCATCCGTGAGCTGGAGCTCAGCCTGATGGAGTTCAGCACTGATCCTCACACAGGGAATATCTTCCCAGCGTCCGTCCAGACGCAGAGATCCGGCAGCACTCGACATACAGCAGACAGAGGAGACACAAACAAACCCGCTGTCCCACCTAAACCATCCTGCATCAGCACATCCACAGCCAAGGTTCAACCTAACCTTCAGTATCTTCTTCAGCCCTGGTCTTTCTGTCTTTTCCATCTTCTTTCTTCCTGTCTGGTGGAAGGTTTTTGGTCTCTTCCGCTGGATTGCTCAACTAGATCAGTTTGTTCTCTTTTGCAAATGCTTTGATAAATTGTTTGCCTCCAGCCTCTGTAGAAATACATATTGTATCTTTCGCACAATAAATTCTCTTGTTTCCTCCTCTTCTTTATTAGCCTACTCTTTTTTTTTCTCCTCTTAAAATGGCTGCAATTTGATTATTTTCCCCTTATTTTCCTCTTGTACATAAGACATTATATGTGGTTTTCTCGTAAAGTAAAAAGATAAAGCCCAGGGAAGCTCTTCGTAACTACTCAAGTGAATGTGTTGCGTAATTTATGCAGTATTGTCTCCTCTTGCATTTGTCTTTCATCTTCAGAGACTAGTTGTCAGGATAAACCGCTATGAAGCAGCGATCCACCAGACGTAATGTGTATTACTCAGCTCCGCTGAGAACAGGGCTGATCTCTGTGAGTGACAGAAGGGAAGGATTTGGATGAAGTCACTTGTGTTTTCCACTGTGTTGCTTTCAGCCCACACATTTGTATACAAGCCAGCATTGCATCACCCCTCCTAACTGGTGTGTTCAAGCCCCTTGCTCTAGGTCGTTGCACATTTTTCTCGTAGGACAGATGGAGCCTGCCAACTGCAGGTCCACCTGATTGCAAGCATTAGATCCTCTTACAGAGCCCCTCGTTCAGTGAGGAGCTCATTTGCATAAAACACACACTTGACTTAGACTTTGGTCTAGTGCTTGATCTTGTGTAGGTAATATATGCAGAAAGAAAAAAGACTAGAGAAAGCGTTCATTATTTTGTATTGCACTGAGAGCTTTTGTCAACATACGTGCAGAGGCGTATAATTTATATTTTCTGAATTTAATACAAGAAATTATAGGTAATATGTGTCTGTGTGTGTGAGAATGAATGAGAGGACTGTGCTGAGATGCATGTGTTCTATTAAAAACACATCACCCTCCTGCCTGTCTTGCACACTATTATCCTCCAGCACTTCCTTTGACTGCTGGTGATGGCAAATACACTGTTGGAAATTGGATGGAAAATATTACCAAATATAGTGCACAGATTTATCTCCTCTTCTCTCTCATCCTTCTCAGACTGGCGGTGGAAAGGCGTTGTCTCGTCTCAAGCACCTGCAGCAGAGCGGATTAGAAAAGAGCAAAACAAGCAAACAGAAAGAGGACTTCCTTAAGAACCAGGGTCAACAGCAGGTATGATCTGTCTTTCTGTCTGTCTGTTGTCCTGTATATCAGTTGTTCTATCATTCCATGGTTTTATCCATTGTTCTGTGGTTCTATCTTTGTTTCTATTATTCAGTGTATTGTTCTGACAGTCCTATCTATCTATCTATCTATCTATCTATCTATCTATCTATCGTTTTGCTCAGAAGTTTACATACCCCTTGCAGAATATGCAAAATGTAAATAATTTTAACAAAATAAGAGGGTAGGGCTGCACGATAAATCGAAATGGAATCGAGATTGCGATTCGACAGAAGCTGCGATTGTCATGCGTATCTTTCAGTGAAGCACGGTTCTGTGATCAGTAGTAAATCTAAATCCAAAGGCCAGAGGGCGCTCTCATGCTGAAACTCCAAATACGCCTTGCAGAAGAAACCCAGAAAATGCCTATCGCTGCAGCTGAATAAACAGAAGATTCAACTGCTTTCATTGATTCAACGTGACTTATAAACACAAGACTACGGCAATAGCTGATTACAGAACCGGTTTTTTAACAAAATGCGCATGACAATCGCATTCGATTAGTCGTGCAGCCATATAGAGGGATCATGAAACTTGCATGATATTCTTTATTTAGGACTGTCCTGAATAAGCTATTTCACATAATAGATGTTTATATATACTCCACAAGACAAAATAATAACGGAATTTAAAAAATGACCCTGTTCAAAAGTTTACATACCCTTGAATCTTAATACTGTGTGTTGTTTCCTGGATGATTAAACTGCCCTCTGTTCTTCAGAAAAATCCTCCAGCTCCTGCACATTCTTTGGTTTTCCGGCATCATCTGTATATTTGAATTCTTTCCAACAATGATTGTATGATTTTGAGATCCATCTTTTCACACTGAGGACAATTGAGGGACTCATGCTTAACTACTACAAAAGGTGAAAACATTTACTGATGCTTAAAGGGTTAGTTCACCTCAGAATGAAAATTAGGCTGCGTTTTACTCACCCCCGAGGCATCCTAGGTGTATATGACTTTCTTTAACTCCGACTGGATTCGTCTGAAAGAAGAAAGTCATATACACCTAGGATGCCTCGGGGGTGAGTGAAACGCAGCCTAATTTTCATTTTGAGGTGAACTAACCCTTTAAGAAGGCAACACAATGCATTAAGAATCAGAGGGTGTAAACTTTTTTAATTGGACGATCAGGGTAAATTGTATTTATTTTGTCTTCTGGGAAACATGTAAGTATTTATGTAGCTTCTGAAGTGCAGTGCTAAATGAAAAAAAATATGGTCTTTAAACAAAATAAGAAAAATTTATACATCACCCTGTTCAAAATATAAACATCTGTTATGTGAATTGGCTTATTCAGGACAGTACGAAATAAAAAATAACATGGAATTTTCATGATCCCTCTTATTTTAACATATTTGCATAACTATTATTAACATATTTGCATATTCTGCAAAGGGTATGTAAACGTCTATTTCAAATCCATTCAAATATATCTAGGCCTAGCCTAATCTCAGTCTAGTTTTGGTCTATCTTTAATCTTAGTTTTGGTTTGTTGTTAGTTTAGCCAAAACGTTAAACTTGGTCTTAGTCTTGTATTTAGTTTTAGTTAGAGTTTTGGTCACGTCTTAATCTAGCCTAAGTGTTGATTTTAGGCTTAGTCTGGTCCCAGTTTAGTCTTAGTCTATCTGTAGTCTTGGTCTCTATTTGGTTTGTTCTTTTTTCAGTCTTGGTTTTGCATGGAACATGGTTTTAAACTTGTTCTTAGAACTTGTTTTTAGCTTTACTGTTGTGTAAGTTTGTATTAACTTTTAAAATGGTTTGCTGAAAGCTAAGAAGATCATTTTCTGCTTGAAACCAATTCATAATGTCTGTCTGAGGGCATTTCAGAGCTCAGATTCCACAGCTCAGACTATTGCCAAGAGCCTTAGGAGAGATGTGTGTGTATATGCGCGTGTTTGTCTGTGTGTGTCAGTCACAAGTGAAGTGAGGCTGAGAGAGAACTTTCTAGCAGTGACGCTTTGAAAAACTGAATCGGAGCGTCAATCGCAGAATATTTGGGACTCTAAAGTGCACTTAAAACCCTCTAACAGAACAAAGAAACCAGAGACAGGTGGGTCTCAGGAGAAGGGGGAGAGAGAAAGCATGAAGCCAGAGACTAGGGAAATGTGAGCTCTACAACATAAGCGAAGGGAATGAGATAGGTGGAGAAAACGGGGGAGGGTTTGAAAGATGGATTAGAGGGAGAAAAAGACACACACACACACAGACAGCTATGGGCCTGTGTGCTGTAGGTAAGGAGAAGATAGATATGCTGGTGCTCTGTAAATCTCCTCACTCTGTGTTTAATAAATCTGGCCCCTGTTCAACAGGCCATGAATATTAGAAAAGAATCTAATCTTTTATGGGGAAGGAAGAGAGAAGCAGATATTGGCAAGAGAGCGAGCAAGATCAGAGGGTTCATTGCAACTATAATTACAGGAGAGCATATTTGCTGTTATAGGCACTCCTGCTAAGCTGGATATGATCAGGATTTAGTCTTGTCAGTATAACAGCTAATTATTCCCTTTGAAGTGGACTGCGTATATCTCCTTTTTGTCTTAACCCTCTTAGCAGCAAATGGATACAAACATTTATGCACACTCATCTTTTCACCCGGACTCTCATCATTTCATTGAGGCTTTTTTTCTGCTTGCTGTGCCTTTTACTGTGCCTCACGGCCTCATCCACATTTTAGTTAGTTTTGTACTCAAGCCTTCTCTCAAAAGACTTCATCTTTGAAATGATTGCTCTCCCTGACTGCTTAAAGTAAATTAACACATCACTGCTCTCTTTTGGTCTGATTCACTTGCCTTTTCTGACCTCTTCTCCCTGTCTTTATTGGACTAATTGTAAATGATATGTACACCACCTTTCAAAAGTTTGGGTTGGTAATAAGTCTCTTATGATCATCACAAAGTCTGCATTTATTTGATCAAAAATGCTATATATTACATTTTAAAATAACAGTTTTCTGTTAATATATTTTAAAATGTAATTTTAGCAGCCATTACTTCAGTGTCTAATGATCTTTCAGATGTCATTCTGATATTTCTAATATTTTTGGTGCTTATTATTATCATCAATGTTGCTATTTAATATTTTTGTAGAAACTGTAATGCATGTTTCAGAGTTCTTTGAATAGAAAGTTCAAAAGAACAACGTTTATTTGAGACAGAAACCTTTTGTAACATTATACGTCTTTACTGTCACATGGATCCTCTTTGCTAAATGAAAGTATTAATTTCTTCCCCCAAAAAAACAAAAAAAACTAACTGTCCCCTAACTTTTGAATGGTATTGTAAAATTATCTTCTTTTTTTTTCTGGCAACACTTAGGGGCCAGTTCTCACTATTAACTAGTTGCTTATTAGCATACCAATTATTAACATATTGGCTGTTTATTAGCACTTATAAAGCACATATTCTGTATGACCATTTTCTACATCCCTAATCCTACCCAATACCTAAACTTAATAACTACCTTACTAGCTATTAATAAGCAGCAAATTAGGAGTTTACTGAGAAAAAATTCTTAGTTAATGGTTTGTTAATAGTGAGAATTGGACTTTAAAATAAAGTGTAACCTCTTTTCCCAAAAACTCAAGATTTTTTTCTTGCTGTTAAAACTTTTATGCTGTCAGTAGAATGAAGTAATCACAAGTCTCGCAGACAAAATTGGTTTTCTCAATTTAGTAAATGCAAAAAAAACAAACCTTATGTTACACATATTTCGTTAATGTATCTTTTTTATCTCTATCTGAAGTTGTTTGTGTACCCCCTAGCACCCATTTTCATTTCACAAATTACTTCCTTCAACAGCTTTATGTCTATTCTCAATTACATGAGCTTGTGGCACATACATTTTAAAAGGGCAGAGAAAGTAAGTGGGAAATGGCCAAAAGGGAAATGTATTCCTTATGACTGTGCAAAAGCAGTAGCTATTTTAATCTCCATCATAGTTGTGTTCTCCAGGGACTTTTTGAGAAGGCTCTTTGAAAAGGACATGGGCCAGCAGGTTTGGAAAAGAGTGAGAGAAATGAAAGAGAGGGAGAAGGTTAAAGGGAAGAGAGATACGGGCGAGAGAGAGATGGACAGTCTTTTTCTGCTCTATCAGGGTGGAATAATTGGCACTTCATGTGGAAAGACACGGGCTCTCTCTTCACTCCTTGTATCCGTGCTGTCCATCCATCTCCCTCACAACTGATTAGAGTTTGAGCAGATCTCAATGGAACTCTTTCAGCGTCCTGTCACACAGGAACCAAAAGAGTGTTTGTGAGTGACTGATGGTAATAGAGACGCATATAAGCTCATGTTCAATAAACCCACCAAGATCTTGTCAAATGGTCAGTTTCTTCTAGCATAATGCATTGTGGGTGTTATAAATGTACGTGGATTCGCCCTCATGTGGTGAAATCCACATGTAGAGCTGTGTACCAGGCTAGCATCATGCATGAATGATCCTAACCTGAATAACGTTGTCCTGTGTTTGTCTCCATCCTTCCTCCCATTGTCCCCTTCCTCTTGCATTTTCCTCTTTGTCACCACTACCTGCCATCCTTCGTCGGCCCTCATGGCAACCATTCACGTCCAACTCCTTGACCCAGTGAGCAGAAGCGAGCGACCCAAACCAACCTGACCTGACCGAAGCTTGTCCACCTCCTCCTCTGCCGCTTTCACCACCACTTCTTCATCAGCATCTTCTGACTGAAGCCCACAATCCTTCACCCAGTTCCTCCTAGTCAACCCTGTATACTTTTAAGGAAAAAACATCATGCAGCTGTCAATATTCACCAGAGCCTCATTCATTCCTTAGAGAAAGTGTCTTGTGAGAGAGATTGACGTATTGCAGCCAAACCAAACCTTAAAAGCCTCCAAAAATGTTCTTAGTTTTTACTCTGTTCTTCTCTACCCACTCTTCTGTCCTTTATCCCCCCTACTTTTGCCCTCAACACCCACCCCCTCAGGCTCTGAGTCTGAACATCAGCAGAGCCAGAGCAGCAGAGTCACTCCTCGCAAGCACCAGAGCCGCAAGCTTCTCCGGCCACCTGCCCTCCAGATTGGGAAAGTACCCCCAGGAGGGGGCACTGTCCTCCTTGACGGCCTCCTCCAACCAGGCCAAAGCGCTTCTGGCTAGCCTTTCCGCATCCAGCCTCTCGGCTGAGGCACTCCTGTCATCCACCTTAAGACAACACCGGTTTCTCAGAGAGCAGAACTTCAAGTCCTCAAGCCTTCCTCTTCCCATCTCCAATGGCCGCTCCCCTCCCTCTCCGACTTCGCCTACTTCCTCTTCCTCGCCCTCATCTCCCTCCGCTCTCACCTCACTGAGTCCGTCCTCGCTGGCCCTGAAACCCTCTGCCACCGGCAGCTTGGAGCGGAACAAGACTGAACCCAAGACGGCGACTCCAGACGATAGTGATTAAGGAGGATGTGGCTGGAAATGATCCATATATAGGATGTGGACAGCGCAAGTAGATGAATTGAAATGTTACTAACCTAAAAGAAAGTTTTTTTTGGAGGCTTAGTTTCTAAAGTGTTTTGTTTCCCTGACTATCCCTACCAAGACGCCTTGCGGAGAACAGTGACGTAGGGCACGGAGGCGGATGACTTACCGCTTTGCATCATAGGTTCACTCTTCTTCAGTTTGTGAACAGATCCAAACTGTAAACCATACCTACTCTGTGTTTCTGCCAGTTCCCCAAACTAGAGAACCAACAGATGGGCTTGGATACTCACCACCAGCCTGTTTCCAGCTCCACTGCACAGCCAGCATCACACCACCCACGGGAGGCCTGGGGAAGGACCAAACCCAAACCCTCATTCATTTGCCAAATCTCACATGTTGGAGATCTAGCTGAGTTCGGTAGATGTCCATCAAGTGTAAAATCAAGACTGTAAGACTATGTAAAACCAAGTAGAGTTGCAATAATCGAAAGTGAGTACTTTAGTAGTCGGTGTTTGTCGAGAAGTTTTATTGCTCATATCTATATCAACGAAAGGAATGTTAAAAAAAATAACAGCAAAAGCTTAATGTTAAGGCAGCATCGCTCGTTCTAATGTAGATTTTGGCTATCAGTCGTACTACTAAAGGAAAATAACTGAAATTGGTGCTATGATTAACATTTTGATGATTATACACCTCCTTAAAGGGATAGTTCATCTAAAAATTAAGGTTCTGTCATGATCTACTCATTCTTGTATTGTTGCAAATGTCTTGGTTTATTGTTTATACAATGGAAGTCACTGGGGTCTATACATTGCTTCGGACTCCACTGACTTTAATTGTGTGGACAAAAACATTCTTCAAAATATCTTCTTTTGTGTTCTACAGAAGAAAGCAATTCATGCAGAATTTTCATTTTCCAAAGAACTATTCCTTTGATATACATACACTGCCTAAGAGTCTATTTTTGTTCTCATTTGCACTCAAATAGGTCTTCATACAGCCATTTTACATGTTTGCTCTAACTTAGCACAAGTTGTCATGGCAACAGAGGAATTGTGGGAAAGTGGAGGGCTGCCTGCTTTTTGAATCACTTATTATGGGATGGTGTTGTTAGGCTATTGTTTTCTTAAGTTCTTAACAGTCACAGTTTTCCTACATAAGGATATAGGATACTCCCCTGTTCTTGTCATTAAAGAAGCACAAGAAGCTAGAGAAAGTACAATAATCTGACAATCATCAAACATTCGGCACAATCTGTCTTAACCTTTGGGCCTCCCAGATTGTGAAACCGAATTCCAATTTAAAATGAACAAACAGATGGTTAGGTTCACCATGTAGGGGTTGCACAAGCAAGAAGACTGAGGGTAATTCCACAACACGTATGCCCGTGGACGTGATCCATCGAGTGGAAGACATCTGTGCGGTAGAGCATTCCAACTCATCCTTTCTTCTAATGAGCCAGTCAAACCCTCCGCTTACTTTTCTGTCAAACCACAGACACTTATGGCGCTTTTCCACTGCATAGTACGGCACGGTACGGTTCACTTTTGGGGGGTTTTCCACTGGGTACAGTACCTGGTACCTGGTCATTTTTTTAGTACCACCTCGGTTGGGGTTCCAAGTGAACCATACCGTTACCAAAATGTGACGTGTAAACTCTGCTGATCACGGATTGGCCGGAGAGAATCGTCACTACCTGCGTCACTGAACTTGCGACACAAACACAAAAGAACCGCTAGATTTAAATCAGCACAGCCAGCGAAGGATCGAACGCAACTGTTTTGAACAAGCGCACCTTTTTTTTAACAACCAAAAAGTTTTGTTGTCTGTAGTGTACAGACGTTCCGCTCGTTGATAGCAGAGGAGCGGATCCAGCGAGAGCTTGATGGGGCGACGCGGAATGAAAAAGTTTTTTTTAGGAGTCGTAGTAGTAGAGGCGGCGCAACTATAACGACATGTGAATAATCCCGCCCACTCTAAAGCGGTACTGAACTGCAGTGGAAACACAAACCGAGCCGAGCCGAGCCGAACTGAGCCGTGCCGAGCCGAGTCGTACCACGCAGTGGAAAAGCGCCATTAGATTCACTATCATTTTTAGAAGGTAATGTAATGTATGCCAGTTTATGATTACCTAGAATGGTGGTACAAATATGAATATCACATCCGTTCTTTGGTTTCATTGCTCTCCACAGTCATAATACTAAAACGCAAGAGCATCCTTTTTTTGGTCATTGAGGCTCTGGTTCTGCCCACCCATCTTCTTTTCTCATTCATGACATTCACACGCACACATACACACACACTCACAGATAAAGATTTTTTTCTTCTCACAAGGGTATTCCTATGTTGTGAATTTGTCAATGCGACAACCTGCAGGTTTCCTCATGAGCCCAGAGAATTTAAATGTGTAAAGGTGAGTGAGAGTGGAATAGAATGAGATGAATAGAGCAAGAGGGGAGATTTTTCCAGCTTTCTGACTAAACGAATGTGTGAAATTGATTGCTTGTGGTGCGGGGTTTAAAATAATGGCTTAAGCACTAGGTCGACGTCGAGAGTAAATGGTCAGAGGACAGATTAGTGGTGTTACTCCGTGTCTCGCAGCCAAATCGGCCTGTAATTCATGTCCGAAATGTATAATAATTCACGTGGGAGGTGCTGCGAGAGGCAAAAAGGTCAAGCTTAGGCTGCTGCATGCACGGAAACACCTTAATTTAAGCCATGTTGTTTGAATTTAACATCTGTAAATAAAAGACAAAACAAAGCTTTATTTGTAATTCATGCCTGGATCAGCTAGTTACACAAAAAGTTGAGCAGTGGCTTGCAAATTCCTTAAAATTACTTTTGTTAAAATGATTCAATCTTGATTTATACTCCAGATTCTTTACACTCTAGATTTGTCTGGAAAGTTCACAGCAAGCATCAAATTCACAGCTCGATCTATTTAAGGACCCAGACCGAACTATTATTACAAACCAGCAAATGAGACAAATTTAGCAATTGGTGCTGCAGTGAGCACTCTCAAATGTTCAAAACGTTACCCTTGCGGCTACAGTTTCGCAGAAACGAGAAGCGGGTTTCATGCTTGAATGGAGATGGTAAGAATCTACAGCACTTCCTGTCAGGAAGTACACTTCATCCTCTTAGTAAAGCCCCTCAGAGACTGCGATGGATAAATGTAGGAAGGTGGTGAAATCTCCCTTTTTGAAGTAGAATCTTTCTCTCTCAAAACATGGTAAGATAACAGCTCAGACATCATATTTAAATACATCTTTAAAGTTAGTCATTTATTTTTCTCTCAACATGGTTGGTAAAAAAAAAAAAAATGTATGATGCGAGATTTGCGTTTGTATATTTTTTGTTTGTTGATTTTATATTAAAAGATTTATTTGTACATATTTTTGTTTTTGTAATCCTGAGGAAATATATAGCACACTAGAAAATGATTTATTCATAAGAGAAGTGTTTTGTATATTGAGTTGAAAATATTACTCTGTACAGCCCAGTTCATGTATAAAGTATAGCTGCATCTAACCACAGGTTGACATTTTGTTAATTTTCTGAGTTGTTTTAAGTGTTGGGTGATTCTGAAAAAGCCTTTATCCAGCTAGCCATTCAAAATAATTTAATTAATGTGATCCGAGTGAAAATCGGGTTCATTGCTGATACTTATGAAGCTCTAATCTGTATTGTGACCTGAGAATGTCATTTGCTAACTCTTAATTTGTTTGCGTTGAGCGAAATGAACAATGTGGATAATGGCAACTGTAAATGAACTGTCACGGCCCTCTTCTGCCCTCTAGTGGTAGGGAGTAAGTCTGCAATTTCATTTCACTACTGAATAACAGATGTTTAAACTGTCAATGTACAAACGCCTTGGTCAAGGAAACAGTTGCACAAGTGTTTCTGCCACATTATACTAATTTTGAGTTGCAGGTTAGAGTTTCCCCCGGAAAGACTGCAGGAAATAGGAGGAGCTGGATGCTTCTGCTTTTATGTTTGGTTTACCAGGCCAAAAATAACAGAGTAATTTGGAGAAAGCACATTCTATGATGGAACGTCTTTATGTAGAATATTTTACCAGAGCTCTTTAGTCCCTTAAGTGAGATTTTTTTCTACATGGATGTTACAAAATTCTGACATCAAAACGATAATAATAAAATACTAGAAAAGAGTCAAAGGGAAAAAAGTATGAAAAGACTATAGCATGTAAATAAAACCGTAATTATTAGAGTCCTACAAAATTATGTCCAGAAAAAAAAGTTGTATTTAAAAGATGGAGTTATAAGGTATATATTAAAAGTTTAAAAAAATATTAAAAATAATTACAGCAATGCATGTACATTCTAAAAGCAATCGCACGGTGCAGATGATTTTAAAAAACAAAGTTATCTACGTGTTTTTTTTTTTAACGGAGAGAATAGTGAGGTCAAGTGCACTGATATGAGGTTCACAGCTGTAGAGTCAAAGTGACTTTTTCTATGTCTGATTTCTTTGTGGCTCAGGCATGTCCAGTCTTAATGTAACCTGTGGTGATGTGGTAACCAGACTTGAGTGGCAAGCTCTGAGTGTGTTTTACTGAGCAGATTAAACTCAGCTCTGACCATCAGCGCACTAGTAATGGTGCGAGCCCTTAGCCCATCTCTAGAGTAGAGTAATATACCAACTGAGAATCACTCTATATACAAATAAGATATATAAACACCTATAGACACAGAAGAAAAAGAAATTAATTTATCAGTGTGGATGCCATGATAACTTTGTGAGAAATGTGACTTTATTTTATTTTTTTCCCTGAGAAATCGTTGAGCTGAGACCTTTTGTACATACTTGCTGTGGTTGTGTGTCTAATAAAGTACAGCTCTCTTCGAGAAATGTGACTTTATTTTATTTTTTTCCCTGAGAAATCGTTGAGCTGAGACCTTTTGTACATACTTGCTGTGGTTGTGTCTAATAAAGTACAGCTCTCTTCTATGACAATATTTCTACTGAGTCTATTTTTTTGGTTTCTCATAATGAATGAAATGTGTCTTACTGTACAATGTTTTCACTGTTTTATTCAAATATCTAAGAATTCTTATCATCTGTATTATTTATTATCAGGCTGTATTAAAAGTGCCTTCATCTATGAGCACTTTTTACAATTTCTTTAGCAATATAAACACAGCAAAACGTGAAAATTGAAGCTCAAGGAATTGCTTACATATTCAGGAGCATATGCGATGGTACAAAAATCCTTTTTGTGCCTTATGTACAATTATTTTAAACATTCTCAAAGGGTTACGTGTATCAGCATATATGCAAGCGTGTGTGATGATGGGTGTCTGTTAGTGTGACTCTTTGTTTGTGTACAGCATCTGTTGTTGTGTATGTTTGGCAGTCATTTTCTGTATCACTGTACAGATTGAAAATGTTTTAATACGTATATAAAGAATAAGACCAGGTGTTAAGTACAGAAGTGTCCGGTGGGAAGGAGAGAAGTCTCTGTAGGTAACCCTCAGTTGTCTTGTCGTGGATTTGCTCTCCGACCATCACCTCTTCTGTAGGGTGAATTTCTCAAATCTGACGCAGACAAATGAAAAATAAAATTCAAATTCTTACAAATATATAGATTATAGAGTAGTACATGGCCAATCGCTCTTGCCAGTTTACACCATAAGGAATGTCCTTAAGGTATATATTGACATGACGACTATTTTGGCTGTATATCTGTAACATTTTTACCTGTTATAATGCCCTCGATGGCCCCGTCTGTGACTTGAGGCTTCACCTGTCTTTTCTTCAGCTCTGCAATCAGGTCCATCTGAGGCATTTTGGGCATCATGGGACCCTGATCATAGTAGGGAAAAGTTTTCAGGGGAATAACTTCAGGTGTGCAGTTCCAGTCAATGCTTTATTTAAATAAAATAACCAAATAGTTGATATATTCAACAAATATTTTATGAATAAAATTACAAACATATTTTAGAAATTACACTTTTCTAACCTTTTGAGGAGTGCTATCTTTCTTCTTTGGGGAAGGGGTTGCCTGTTCTTCTGCTGCAAGCTCTTGTTTCTTCTTCTGTTCATTGTCTTGTTCTGCTTGCTGTTGTGTGACACAATAATACACCACAGTAATTAATAATAAATTGGTGAAATGCTTGCGGTATCTTTGCTCATTGTGTAGAGCACAGCTCCTTTAAAGTGCCCCTATTATGGATTTTTGAAAATTACCTTTCATGCAGTGTGTAACACAGCTCTAAGTGAATGAAAACATCCTGCAAAGTTTTAAATCTGAAAGTGTACCGTGTATAAAGTTATTGTCTCTCAAAAGAAAGAGTCGAAATCGAATCATTTAGTCGTTTTTAAAACGAATCCCAAGCCGTTTCATGTTGACAGCAAAATTAAACATTAGCATATTGCCCGCCCACTTGTTGGTCTTTTCGCGTTTCTCCAAGTAGGTATAACTGCAGACCGGGCCGTGCAGTCAATTTCACTGGTTAAGGTTAGGGTCAGGTGTGTGGGGTAGGTTTAGGGGTTAGCATTTTTTGTAGCATAGTGTAGGAAATCAACACTTTAATTGACACAACCAATAAAATCTTTAGAATCAGCTGTGGGGCGGAGTTTGCACTGAAGTGGATTGGGGGAAAAATTGCGCATGCGTGTCCTGTGCCTGTCTGTCAATGGGAGGAAGCCACGCCTTTTTTGGAGCTCCCACCCCGTTTTGGAGTCCCGCCCCCATTTGGAGATCTCCAGGCTGCAGTTATACCCTTCTCCATTTGTCTGAATGAAAATGCAAATTCATTCTTTGCCATTAGATGCTGCTTTTGGAGCGGTAAAAATAGCTGTTACCCTGGTAACGGCTGTACACAAAGCATTACAGGCATGATGAAATGGAAATGAAATGAGACCAATTGGACCAATCACCGCAGATTAGCGTCACGCAAAGGAGGGGTTTGGAAAAATGAATCGTTGAGAGAATCGTTTGGGAGTCGTTGAGCAAATAAGGTAAAAAAATAAATGCATATTATAAGAAAATGAAAGTGTTTTTTGACCTTGCATGCATGTCAACCTGTTGTTGGGGACTCCCAAAACCAAAATGAACCTTTCATTACCCATAATAACCCTTTACTGTACTTACAGTACTTTAAGCAATTCCCATAAGCATGTGAACAATCAAATAATAACGGCTTTGTTATTATGTGTATGTGTTGACATGAACATGTGGGTAAATGTTGCTGTATCTCTCACTTTATAAGCTTTGATAAACCTGACGAAGAATGGGAAAAACATGGAAGGCTGTGTCGTCTTCGGATTCTCTCCGTAGTACTCCACTACAGACATGTATGCCTCCTTGTTGGCAGAAGAGAAAAAGTCAGCAAGACTAATTAAGCAGAATTAATGTCAAATAGTTTGTGTGCGTTGAGCATACACTGTGCTTTCACCTGTGCTGTCTTGCCATCTTTAACAAGCGAGTCTAATACGTCACTGTTGGCTTTAACAAACTCTTTCAGCGTCGGGATGTCGTCCTGCACCAGGAACTCCTTCTTGGTCCCTTCCATCCCTCTCTCCAGAGATCTCACATCCTGGAGCACACTGTCCAAAGACACTGAGAGAGCAAAGGAGTGAGAAAGAGAAAAGACTATGTATCCCCATGTTTGTAGTATGCACAGCAACTATGGTATGTCTTACCCAGAGCAGCCTTGTCTAAAAAGCGGAGTTCAGTGTGGAAGGAGGCAAGCTCGGGGTATTTCTCCTGCACCATATTCGCAATGAAGTGCATCAAAGTCTGTGTGCGGTCTGTGGACTTAGTGTCCAACAGCTAAAAGACACAAGAGAGTGAGACTGAGTGAGGACACTGGGAGATTTTACTTTGGCCACCAAGGACAGATGCAGAGATGAGATGAAGTTATTGCAAAGGTAGAGGGTAGAAATAGAGGTAAGGTACATGCAGAAGTTGTTTTTATTTTGGGTAAATATCCTCATGAAGAAATGAATCAGATCAATATATTTATACAGCAATTATAATGTGAATATGAATGTATACATGTATGGAAATTTATAATATAAAATTTGATAGATGACTAGTTTCTTATCAGTCTTTGTAATTAGTAAACAAAAATGTGAGAAGATTTTTTTTTTTTATTTGAGATCCATTTCATTTGAAATTACAAATAACCTGCAAATTGTCAATTTTGATATATATTTAATGAATTTTAATCAGGGTTATTGTAGTTTAAAACTTTCATTTCTTGAAATAAAACAAACGTAAACTGAAATAAAATATAATACTATAAAATAAATAAAAATCATAATAGTATACTAAAATAACACCAATTTTCATATATATATATATATATATATATAATAAAAATATAAATGTGTGTATAGTTTTTTTTATTTCATGTTAATTATGTTTTTGATTTTGTCAAAAAACACATTAATTAAAAATAGGGTGAGGTAATCTGAAACCTTTGAAAAACCTGGAAAACAGAGGTAAAGGTAAAAAATAATTTATAGGAAATTTCAGCTACAGAAGATTAGCATGCAAAGTTTTCATTCACATGCAAAGTTTCAATCCCTAATTTCTTCAGACTCCATTAGCCTCTTTGTTTCTGCATCAAAGGCCTCTACATCAGAGGTCTCTCATAACTAATACAAAGAGAGCTTTCCAAAACACACACCTGGGTCTGTAACTTCCTGCTGTTATTTACAATCCATACATAACAAAAACATGAGTCTTAAAGTTACAATCTACAAACTCACTCACCAGGTCAAGCTGAAACCTTTGAAAAACCTGGAAAACAGAGGTAAAGGTAAAAAATAATTTATAGGAAATTTCAGCTACAGAAGATTAGCATGCAAAGTTTTCATTCACATGCAAAGTTTCAATCCCTAATTTCTTCAGACTCCATTAGCCTCTTTGTTTCTGCATCAAAGGCCTCTACATCAGAGGTCTCTCATAACTAATACAAAGAGAGCTTTCCAAAACACACACCTGGGTCTGTAACTTCCTGCTGTTATTTACAATCCATACATAACAAAAACATGAGTCTTAAAGTTACAATCTACAAACTCCCTCACCAGGTCAAGGCTCTGCAGACGGAACCCATACGCTGCTCCTCTTTTACTGCTGTTCATGTAGTTCCCAAAAGCCAAGATGATCTGAAGCAGGAGACTGATAAGTGATCTGCACTGAAGGAGCACACCATTCATACCTCTAAGCACAAATGAAGTCTACTCACCTCTAACATCTTCTTCAGCTTTGATGAAGACTTGAGGGACACGGAAGCTGCAATGATCGCATCTATTTGCTACAGAAACAGGTGGGGGGGGGGTGACTTTTGAACCAAACATATGAATTATGCTAGGTACAACAGCCAAAGTGTGATGTGAACTGACCGGCTGCAGACGTTTCATGCACTCTGGGAAGTTGCCCATGAAAGTGAGGGTGTTGATCCGCTGAGCAAGGCGTGGGATTTTACCAAAGCGGCTCATGAATCGGTCCTCCTCGCTCAGGTCCTCTAGTGGCCGCCCTTCCTTCTCGTAGTTCTGCAGTAGCTTCATCTCATACTCCGATGGGATAAAACGTTCCAGAAGCTCCAGAAAGTCCAGACTCAGAGACTGCTGATCATATCTGAGTGAGACAGAGGGAAGAGAGTTTCCATGCTGGTTCAGGATGGTTTAAAGCTTGTTGTTGTTTTTTTTGGTGCAGTTAGCTGTTGTTGAAACATACCTCTCAATGGCTGTGCAGATGTCGTTGGGGCTCATGCCTCCCTTGCGGAGGGTGATAGCAAGGTTTTTGGCTTTGTTTGCCTCCAGCATGGACACCTTACTAGGTGCCTTCTCAGCCACCTTAACCTTGAGCTTAGAAAGATCTGTTGGAGGACCTTGAGCCTTGGTTCTAAACTGCTCTGCAAATACATCCATATTCAGCTCCTGAGACAGAGAGTGTAATAGATTAATTGACCACCCAATTAGTTCACCCAAAAATGTAAATTCATTTACTCATCCACTTTATTCCAAACCTGTATGACATTATTTCTTCTGTGAAACACAAATGAAAATCTTTTTGAAAAAATCTTTTCATCCATACTGTGAAAGTAATTTTGTACCTCACTGGCTTTCATTATATACATTCTTCAAAATATTTTATTTTGTGTCCTCCAGAAGACATACAGGTTAATTTTGGGTGCATTTTAAGGATTTTTTTGCTTTTACCCCTAACAGTTGCTCATCATTCAGCTCGCTAAACACCGTTCCCGTCACTTGATTGGGCTTCAAAGCCTGCCAGTTCAACAGAGGCATCTTAAACTTTGGTTGAACTGGTTTACGTCCCTTTGGTCCTGTGCAAAACAATGGAAGATACAGTCACTCTGCTCAGGTTGCATGTCTGGATAAGTATTTCTTAAATTTCTTTAGTTGTCCCTTCACCTGTTTCAGCCCCAGGGGCAGGAGGAGCTCCTGGAGGGGGTGGTGGTCCATAGCCAGGTGGGGGCGGGGGTGGTGGAGGACCTCCACCAGGAGGAGGAGGAGGAGGAGGAGGAGGGGGAGGTGGAATACCTCCACTTCCAGGAGGAGGAGGTGGTGGAGGAGGTGGAGGGGGCGCTGCAGCTCCAGGTGGAGGAGGAGGAGGAGGTGGAGGTGGAGGCGGTGCTGTGGCTGGAGGGGACGGTGCTTGAGAAGCTGGATCTGACACAGTCACTGTGAACATTAAACAGACATTATGATAATATCAATGTAGCCAGCTAAAGGTAATCATTTTGAGTTCACTAGAAGCATTAAAGGGGTCATGAACTGAGAAATCAAAATTCCCTTGATCTTTTGATAAAGGTCAATGCACTATAAAAACATCCTGTAAGTTTCAGAACTCAAAACTTTCTTGTTAGTCTAACAACAGCTTTTATTGAAGCCAGTCTGCCAAAACGTCAGGTTGTGGAATGTGCCACTTTATGACGTAATAGTGTGGCTAAACACTGTCTCTGCAGAAGAAGATCAACGCCTGCTTCTACATCGCTGCCTAAATAACGAGAGAGGCAGACGCAGGTCTACGCAGAAACCAAACGCTAAACTTTATTTGATGAAATTTATTTTGTAATGAAGTGCCAGACCACATCAGTAAGAACTTGGTCCTTTGTTCGCTTCATTTGACCACGGATTCTTTTACAAACAAGGCACAATTCGATGCAGGATTTTCAGAAAGATTGAAACTAAAAGACGATGCTACTCTGAATATATTGAATCCGATGTCGCACCACACAAGTGTGAGTAACTGTTTTCATTAGTGGTCACTACTGCTTTGTCTGTTATTACAGATCGTTTGATATGTACTGAGTATTGATGTGTTTTTAACCTAAATCACAGCAGCCCATCTGTGAAGGATGTAGGCTGTCAAACATACACAACTGTTAGCCAATCACAGCAGTGACGTTTACTTCGGAGTCTACAATCCGCCACACCTATACAAACAGAGCATTCAGATGAGAACATGACAGAAAATAGCTTATTACTTCTAAATTAAGATGTTTTTGATGCAAAATAACATTATAAGTGGACCTCAGAGAACAGTAAAAAAAAAAAAAAAAGGCAGTTCATGACCCCTTTAATTTGAGATGCTAAGCAGAAGTGCTCCTACCTGTTTGAGTGACAATTTTCTCTACGGTGACTGGAATCACTTCGATGTCCAAGCTTCCAGAGGCTGTGCGCTCCAGTCGGACTAAGCCTTTCTCCTCCAGTTCCTTCAGCTTCACCTCCAGTTTGGACTCCTTTTCACTCGCGTCTCTCTTTCTTTCTCTGTCTACCTGTGAGGGCTGCGACAGACGCTCCTGCTCTCGTTCTCTCTCTCTCTGAATCTCTCGTTCTCGTTCTCTCTGCTGCAAAGTGCTCACTTGGGCACAGGACTCTCGCAAACTCTCCTGTTACACACACATGTAAAGGTTTGAGACAATGACTGATTCCCAAATTTGATATTCTTAATATTATTCTAAGAGTGTATGTACTGCGTTTGGCATACCATATATAAGCTACCAACATTTTTTTTTTTTACTATGATACATGTTTGGTCTCATTTCTAGTAAAAATACCTAAACATATTTTACATCTAAATATCTAAAACAAAATACATTTATTTTCATTTTTAATAAAATTCAAATTAAAAACAGATAATGATAATTAAAGATACATTCTCTGACACAATTTGTGCTTCTCAAGTAAACCCATAGTTTTTATTCATTTTTATTAAATAAGTTAATTATTTTGAATGCTTTTAGTTATTTATTTCTTCTTTGTTTCTTTATTTGTAAATCATAATTAAAACAATCATGGGTTAGCCAAAGTGCTGTACATAAAATCACCTTAAGGGCATTAAAAGACAAATAAATCGATGTACTAATTTTCAGACAATGCTATGAAACATTTGACTAAAGAAGAAAAACACACAACACATTTAAGCCATAATCACCTTTTCAAATAAATAAGATTTAAGCATAGATTGGAAAAAAGGAAAACAAGGAGCTGTTCGCATGGCTACATGGAGTTATATAATAACCCCGAGACTCACTACTTCTAATCTTATTAATTAACTGTTCTAATTAACTGTTAATGCTAAATGTATTGTTAAATGTTCTAATTAACTGTTCCCTCCTGGTGGAATGACCTGCCCAACTCAATCCAAGCAGCTGAGTCCTTAACCATCTTCAAAAAACAGCTGAAGACACATCTCTTCCATCTACACTTGACCCTCTACTAGCATTCTATATTCTATTTCTATTTTATCTACTCGTTTTCTTTTTATTTATTTGTAAACTTGACCCTATAACATTTGCACTCTCTATTCTGTTTCTATTCTAACTTGTTTTCTTTGAATTAAAAAAAAATGACCCTCTAACACTAGTGTTCTCTACTCTTTTTCTATTCTTTTGTCCTTGCTACGTGTACTGCATTAGACTAACTGAGACTTGTCACAGCACTTACATATTATTGCTCTTTTGTTGGTTTTGATTGCTTCTATTGTCTTTATTTGCAAGTCACTTTGGATAAAAGCATCTGCTAAAATTACTAAATGTAATCTTAAAAACTACTAGTATATAGTATAGCTAGTATGCAATGAAAGGAAAATGCAGTGTGGTACCTTAAGCAGCGCTGACTCTTTAGTGGCCTGCATTAGTTGTTGCTCTAGTTCTGCCATTTTTTCCAGTGCTCCATTCTCATATTCCTGCAATCTGGCATTCAGCTACAACACAAGCATATACACACACACCTATGAGGAACAGAACAGCCTACCTGCAACATGAGGCATGTGCACTATGCAGTAGATGATTATGTGCAAATTTGTTTTGTGTCCATAGAGTATAGTTGACCTGTGCATTGGTCTCCTGCAGTTCTGTTAAATGCTCCATTATTTCCCCTTTATTTTCTGCATCCTCCAGCAGAGCTCCAACATCAAACACATTATCCAAGTACGCCTGGATCTGTACTTGCAGCTTCTCACTTTCCATCTCCTTTAAGGACTGCGGACACAAACAGTTGTGTGTTACATTACAAGGATAATGCACAACTTTATGAATACACGCTGCATGTAAAGCATCTCAAATCTAGGATCCAGTCCTGTGTTAATTATGTGTAAGATGCACGTTATGCTTGTATAAAGTATTTATCTGTCCTGTACACTAGTCTTACCTCTAAGTACTGGTCGAGACCCAGCTGGGTGAACTCATACTGAAGATGCACACGGAAATTCATGTTCTCCACTGAGTGAACCACAATGTTTATGAACTGCATGCAAGCCACCTGTGAAGAATAACATCAAATGGACAGTTTAAAATCAGTCATATTGCACCAAAAAAGTGAGCAGGTTAACTGTCATGTTATTGTGATTCACATCAAAGCTCACCATGAAGTCTATATTGCTGTCGTCATTCATGAAGTACTCCATTAGCTTCTCAAAGCGGTTCTTCTCTCCACTCACCTGTGAGAAAGTGGGCCAAATTCAGAGGTAAGTGTTGAGCATGATATATTATATGCTACAAAATGTCTAGACTTTTAATAGTGTCTGAAAGGCATCTGTGCAGCATTGGTAGCATAATTTGTGATATTTGTGTCACATTAACTAACATTCATTTTTTTTGTTTTATTGAAAGAAACTAATTTTTTCAGGAAGGATGCATTAAATTGATTAAAAGTCATAGTACAGATGTTTATAATTTTACAAAAGATTAATATTTCCTTTTTGTCTTTCTCAGATCAGTTTCCACAAAAACATTAAGAAGCACAACTGTTTTCAGCTTTGATAATAATAAGAATAATAATGCATGTTTCTTGAGAAGCAAATCAACATATTAGAATGATTTCTGAGTACACCGAGACGAGGTAAAAGATTAAAATGAGTTGTTTCAGTTTTTAGAGAATACAGCTGGGCAGAAGAAAATGTATCTTGACCATCTGCAAAACCAGACTAAATTTGCCATTTGTCCATTTTATGAGGACATCCTGTTTGATTAAAAAAATGTGTATGTATATGTGTAGAAGGCTGGTCATCTTACTTCTTTAAAGTTGTCAAAGGCCGAGATGATGATGTCATGTCCTCCTCTAACCAGACACACTGCAGCCAACAGCTCCAGCACAAGAGCTTTAGTCCTATGGACGGTGTATTTAAATGTATTACAAACTCACACAACAAACACACAAACCCCTACACCCCACAAAAAAAACACTCACCTGGGGTTTTTGTTGTTGAGGCTGAGTGTAATTTCATTGACACATCTGGGGTGAGTCATGACTAAATTGAACCCAGACTGTCAAAAACAAAAAAAAAATGGTGAGTCACAAAGTTCTCCTAAAATGACATTTGAGTAGCCGAGTCTAGTGTTTGTATGTGTTCCTGACGCCAACATACCTGATAATTCATGATAGCACGCAGGCACATAATGCAGAGGTGAACGTCATCTCTTTGGGTGGCCAATCGGGCATTTCGCATCGTTTTTCTGCCATGGGTCAAGTTACTTATTCTAATGTGAAAAGGCAGGGAATTAACAAAAGATGAGCACTGAATATGAAGTATCTGAGTACACTTATCTTAATGAGAATAATATCTAAACAATATGGTTTCTTAATTTTAGTCCTGAGCAGCGATCCCTGTATTTTTGGGGTGTGCTGTAGTGATGACTCACCGGACCGTGAGTGCACGTGCCGCTCTGGTCATGCCGAGTGTGGAAGAATGGTTAATATTTTTGGCTAGATCCTCCACTGATCTCTCTGACAACCTCCTGTTGTCTGATACAGATCCACCGTTTTCCACAGATTCCACCTCGAACCTGAGAAACACGTCAGCACAGAATCTGAGCTAATTTTTAGCCACTGAGAGACTACACGCTTAAAAATAAACTTTCTTTCTAAGCATCTATGGTTCCATGAAGAACCTTTAACATCCGTGGGACCTTTGCATTCTACAAAGGTTTCTTTGGATTTTTGAAATGTCCTTCACACTACACTCTTACAAAAAGGCTGCAAAAGGGGCTTTTCAACGCATTTTGGGTTCCCCTAAAAACCTTTCAGTGAGCAGTTCTTAAAAGAACAGTTTTCCTTAGAGTAAAGAACACTGTAATAATCTAAAGAAACTTTTTAGACTATAAATAATCTTTTGAGTAATGGAAAGGTTCTATAAATGTTAAAGAATCTTAATGGAACCATCAATGCCAATAAAGAACCTTTATTTTTAAGAGTGCAATGGTTCTTTTAAGAGCTGTTCACTGAAAGGTTCTTTAAGGAACCAAAAATTGCCCTTCTATGGCATTACTGCAAAAAACCCTTTTGGAACCTTTATTTTTAATATGGCAAGTGAATTGTAGTTACTTCTTGTCAAAATCTACTGTAAGGATTTACTCATAAAATCTTCTTGGACAAATATTGCATTAGACAGCTGTAATGGTATAAATGGGAAATCTTAGACAGAATAAACATACGGCGCATCACTTTGAGCATATGACAAGTAGTCCACCAGGACATCCAAGCCTTGGTTTTCCTCGTTCAGAAACTCCTGAGCCCACCTATAGAGTACAAAAGGAATATCATGATATGTATCCATGGAGGTTTTCCATTATTTAGGTTCAAAATTATCTTTCAGGTTTATTCAGGAGTAGCAGGGAAGTCTATCTTTGCACGGCACAAGAAAATAAAGCTGCCACTAACCCAATGTGATTGGTTCTCAGCGAGATCTCCAGCTCTCTCAGGACTTGAGTTGACTCCTGCACACGTTTCTTGAACTGTGGAGAAGGATTCACAGACATAAGATGACTCACTGACAGACAATCATTCACTTCTCATCGAGACTCTAAACGGAGTTTTCTTTTGGGCAGGTGGGTGTCAGCACTGATATGGGTAAAAGAGAAATGCAAGTGAATGGAGTTGGTGAGGGAAAGAACAGAAAGAGAGTGATGGTACTGACCCTGCGTGCTACTCCACCCTGGTCCTGGTAGAAGCTCTTGATTTTAGTCAGATAAGCAGAGGGAGGGTTTTTCACCTGAAACCGCTCCTAATAGACATCAAGAGAAACAATAAATGGACTGGTTTCCAGCTGTGATGAAGATATTTAAACGCTTTTTGATGGAACAGAATAATATAAAGTTTGAATAATACCATTCAAATGTTTGGGGTTGCAGACTTTTTCATGTTTTTAAAAGAAGTCTCTTATGCCCATAATTGCTTTGACTAAAATACAGTAATATTGTGAAATATTATTACAATTTAACATAAAAGTTACATTTTATTTGAATGCATTGTAGAATGTAATTTATTTCTGAATTTTTCAGCATCATTACTCCAGGCTTCAGTGTCACATGATCCCTCAGAAATCATTCTAATATACGTACTGATTTGATTCTCAATAAACAGTTTTTTTTATTAGCGATTGTGAAAACAGTTGTGCTGCTTAATATTTTTGTGGAAACCAAGATACATTTTTTGATGAATAATGTTCAAAAGAACAGCATTTATTTGAAACGGAAATCTTTTGTAACATTATAAATGTATTTACAGTACTGCCACTTTTAAACAAGTTAATGCGTCTTTGTCATATAAAAGCATTAAGTTCTTACTAAATAAATAAAACATCTTACAGACCCCAAACTTTTAAATTGTACTGTACATCCATCTCAGATACTTATTGTATTAATACATATTTCCCCTGAAGGTGGTATATAGCCTACATAATGCCCATAAGAAATACATTTTAGTTGTGTGCATTCATTGCTATAACAACCTGTGCTCTCTGCATGCATAGCTACAAAACTTGCATCCCACAGTTGTCATGGAGACACAAATATTAACACAGGATGTGCGTAGACAGTTTCACCACCTTAAGAGTCTGACCTCATACCGCTGCTCTTATTTTCCCACCGAAGCCTTTTTCTCCTGTTGAGATGTCTGCTCACTATCAGCCTTTACATCATCTCTTGCATCATTCTTTTTACTGTTATTAAAAGGTTCAACAAAAATATATCCGAACTTAAGAATACACCTCCTTTGCAAAACTTTGTAAGCCTACTTAAATTAACATCATTTACACAAAGAGTCTACCACTGTTGTTTTTTCCTTCTTATAGGCTCTGCATTTTCTGAAACTGATCACAACAAATGCCCCAACCTGTAGTTTAAAGGGGTCATATGATGCGATTTCAAGTTTTCCTTTCTCTTTGGAGTGTTACAAGCTCTTGGTGCATAAAGAAGATCTGTAAAGTTGCAAAGACTAAAGTCTCAAATCCAAAGAGATATTCTTTATAAAAGTTAAGAGTCAGCCACGCCTACCTAAAACGGCTCGTTCTAACACGCCCCCACATATCTACCTCACTATGTGGGAAGATTTGCATAACGCCGCCCAAATGTTCACGCAAAGAAAGAAGGTGTAACTTTTAGTCTCACTGTAGTTTTGTTGACGCTGCAGCCATGTCGTGAAGACGCTGTGTGCTTCGTTGTGAAAGCTAAACTACTTTGTTTTGTCTTCCAAAAGAGGACGATATCCGCTTCGTCATGCCTAGAGCTGATCTGTGCTGGTCGCTGAGGGAATACATCAACTTTCACCGTGGACGAAGCAGAGTC